TTCGCGAATCCCGAATCACGAAACGCGAATCCCGAATCACGTTTTCCGGAGGCTTCTCCGGATCACCACTGGACTTTTTGCGTGTTCCTTCCTTCTCAATGCAACTGAACAAAGACCTATTGGGCCTATTGGTCAGTTGAAAATCTGGGTATACGGTATAGAGATGCAAAGAGGGAAATTGGAGAAGTTCTTCCCCTAAGCGCGGGGATTCTGACCTCAACATACGTGGCACGTCTTGTTTGCTCTACCCCCACCACCACCACCACCACCACCACAACAACAACAACAGCAACAATAAAAATGACACACACAAACAAGTGTGATCCCATCTTCTTCGGAAGAATGAAGCGATTGATTGTTTCGGTCATCAAATCTTTCTCGCGATAAAAAAAGAAATGGTGGAGCTTTCCGCGGAATGCCCCTTCTCACATGCCCTTGTCAAATGCGAGGCTAACCAGTAGCCGGAGGTTCCCCTTCTCTCGGCACACACGAAAAAGAAGGTTTGTGGCCATAACTCCAGTGACCAGCTGGATTCTGACTACACTCCCTGGAATAAGAATCCCGGTCCGGAAGTGTGAAAACCAGCTGTTTGGTCTTCGGAGAACTCAGGGACCATCCAAACTCGGAGCCATGTTCCCATCCCATCGATGTTCGCCCATGATGATTTCAGTCACTCGAAATGGTTCCAGTGTGGTTCTGTGATTCTGCCAATCACTCGAAATGGTAGTGACCGCTGCACTGAGGCTCCGACTGGATCCTGACTGAAAGCATCCTGACTGACACCAATCAGCTGGACTCGAACACCGGGCGCCACCGGCACTGCAGGCATCTGGATCCGATAGATCTGTAAGACCATACCTGGCGCTGGCTGATTGCCGTCAGTCCTCACATGGGCAGTGGTTTCAATCCAATAGACAACAGGCTCCAGAATCTAAGAAGTGCTATAGGTGGGGTAGCTCTGCCATTCTACCAAGCTTCCAACAATCAATGGATCAAAAACCCTCAACAGCTCGCCCTCAAGCGTTTCCTCTCCCAGAAGTTCGGGACAAACGAAAAAATCCGATCTAATCCGTCTTGTGCCCAGCCAGAGCGATGACAACCCCCCCATCAACCAAGAACCAAATAGCTCTACCTCTCCAACTCCTAAAAGCCATTGGGTTTAAGTCCTTGGTTCCAACTTCCTTACATCTATATTTTGTGTTTTCCAAGACTAACTACATCAAAAACATATGTCACATGTCTGTATCAATTGCTGGGTACTTTCTATCTCCTTTCCAGAGAACTTCCCGCGGCATGTTCGCCCTTTCGCGACCCCCAACGCAGCGACTGCCCTAGCGACTGCCAAAACCGGCCAGAGCGAGAAATCCCACGCAACGCCACAGAAGGGACATCGGCGTCGCGCGTTCCGTCGTTGGGTCGCCCAGGACGCCGGTCCACCATGGCGGAGGCAAAAAGGAGACTCGTTTGTACGGCTCCAAGTCTGATTTGGACAAAGCGGAGGCTCCTGCAGTTTTGACTACTTTTTGATTGGTTCCTTTGTAGGGGCGAGGTCCATAGAATAAAAGGACGTCCTCTACAGGTTGGTTGCTGGCAGTCCCAAAAGTTCAATCCGGCATGTTCACGTGCTCCAAAAAGGGATCCTTTTTGTCAGGTGAGTGGAAAGCACACACTTTCCAAGGAAAAGCTAAGACCCCCGTTTTCGCGTTTCTTCACCACAGGTCTTTTCTGCTCCCCTTTTTGTTTGGTAAAAACGCTGAGGCCAAAAGTGTTCGGAGTGCCGCATGTAGCGCCCCTCTGTGCGCCATCACGACGGGTTTGGAATCTATACATCTATACATCATGACTTGGTGCCGTTCGGATTCGCCTTGTCCGACCGATCCCTGGCGCATAGCCAAGCGAACCTTTCAATCAGGAACTGCTTCTGATGCATGAGTCTGAATTGTCCTGACCATCTACGTGCTGCCATCTACGGCTTGCAGCTCTCATCGCAACCTACTTGGCATTTTTGAGCCATTTGGCCTCGCCAAGGCGCACGTGGCAACAGAGAACAACTATCATTGGGCCATTGGGCTGGCACTGAAACCAAATGTATTCGCGCGGTTCCCGCAAAAAGCAAGAAAGTTATCAAAGTTGCTGAGAGGGACCTTCAGAAACGCCGCAGGGGGAGACTGTTGTATAGGTCATGTTTGTCTCTTTTGCATGTGAAAGCTAAACCACTTCAAATCCTCCTGCCGGTATTTCTACGGAAACTGTGCCCTTTGATATGAGCTGGGTCTACCTGTCTACCTGCCTCTGTGTACAGTACATGAAGGTGTCTTTCAAAACTCGTGTTGGCCTCCTCCCAAGTGCTAAACCCACAATACCATCCCAGAGTTCAACCACCCAAACTCGCCCCCCATCCTCCCAGCTCGCCCACTGGCGCAGAACGCTCGCTCGAAAACAGCTTATCGCTCAACCCACTTGCACGTCTCCTTCCAGGAATAGCCCTTGGAGACCAAGTAGGCCAAGTACTCCCGAAAGCGAGGCCGAGACTTGCTGGGGACCTGCGTCCCAGCGTTGCGGAAGGGTACGGGTAGCATGCGCTCTCCAAGACTTGCATGTCTAGATGGTGCGAAGAGTGTTTTTGTTTGCGAATTAGAAAACGACTTGACCCCTCACGGTCCTCAAGGTGTTCAAGTTGAAGTTCAACTAATAGTTTCTCTTGACTGAAAGCCAGGGAAAATTCATCTTCAACGAAGCTGCTCAGTCGCTTCCCCACTCATCACTCTCGGTGCCTGCAAGCCCACCAGCACACGGGCCACGTCCGCGCCATGTCCACGGTAGTGAAAGAGCGAAACGTTGAAATCTGCAAGACGTGGCTGGTGAGTGGGGTGTCTTGTTGTGCAAAGGCCACATCAAAATGCAACTGCTACTCCTGCTTCAACAATTGTGGAAGTGGAGAATGGCCCCTTGGAAGACATGTTTCCTCTCTAAGGCGGGGGTCTTCCACTTCCATGATTGTTGGTAATTTGTCACTGTCACTGTCATCATTCTCTGCAACGTCACCTGATGGAAGTTGTTCCAAGAACTTCATCAAAGCCCCAGGCTTCTCCGGGAATTCGAAGCTGAAGAGACCCTCCTGTGAACGGGAAGCTGCGAACGCAGCTCGAGCGAAAGCGCCAACCGGCCGGATGGGTGTGGAAGTTCTGTCGGCACGTCCAAGTGCGCTAAACAAACATAGCAATCCTTCCCTGACCGAGAAAATGTTCTTCCTCAGGGAAGGAACAGAACATAGTGCACAACATGTCACTGTGTCTGGTATTTCATGGTAAGATATCATGGTATTTCACGGTCATTTGTCCGGCTCCTCACCGTACCAATGAGGAATTGTTAGAAAAAAAAGGTCCTTGGTGGCTTTTTGGGGGTACAAAGGCACCACTCTCGACCGCACGAGGTCATTCAAAACCGCACTGAATCCATAGCTCTTGACCACTCTCCGCTGCCCTCCTCCGCGGTGAGTTCAGTCGGTGCTCGCCCACCTGTGCAGCAAAACGCGCTTTTTTGGGGGGCCCCACCTTTGTCATAGAAAAAGACACCAACTTCATCCAATGTCCATAGATGTCCATAGACTCTATGACGCTCTATTGCATTTGTCCTCTATAAAGTTCTATGAGGTTGTTTGATCGGGCCGTTGGACGCTCCAAGACGGCACCAACACCCCACTCGCATATTGCAGCGCTCCAGAGAATCGCATATATACATCTGAGAGGCTGCAAGACGTTCTCGGAAGAGCCACTGATATAAATGTTTTATATATATAAATACAATACATAAATAACTTATTGTATATATATTCTTATAAAATGTAGGATATTGATTTAAAAATACCCCCCCATATTAAGGTTTTGGACACCAAATGGGGAGGTTATTAGTCAAGAGTCTACACGAAACGGTTCTTCCTAACCATTCGGATGATCCATCTATATATGAAGGAGCTGAAAAATGCTTAAACCATTAAACCTTTTGCGCCATCACCCTCCGAGGCGCCAATGAGGCTCCTCCCGTGTGTCTTGGCCAACTCATTCTCGCTGAGGTCCATGACGTCGTAACCGGCCGTCCTCGACCCAGGACGGAGGGAGCTTGCTGATGGTAAGTTACCATAGGTAACTCGGTGGAAGTCTTGGTGGGAGGTGCTTGTGGCTTTGCAAAGGATCAGCTCATATTGAAATGAAAGTGACCAACAGTTTCAAGAGATCTTGCAGCATGTCATGATCTTCATTTGATATACATTGTAGCTCTGCGAATGATGAAGGCTGGTGCCTTCCTACGAAGCATTCTGCATGACATCGGTGGATGGAAACGGCTGTACCGCGGTCGCGAGCGAGTGAAAAGCTGATTTGGCCCCTCCTCAACGTGTTCAAGGCCTTCGCCCGGTCGTCATCTGATTTGGCCTGCGGAGAGGATTGCGGTGTCTTGAGTCCCGAGCAAAAAGATTGAAAAGGATGGTGAAAAGGATTGTCTAGTGAGTGTGGGGGAGAATCAGCCGTCATCTTCTGGACTGCTTGATTCTGACTCACAGCCATGTGGGGGATTGAGGTGCACCATGTCCAGATGACGGAACCATCTGCAACCTATAAAACTCCCAAATGGAATGCTTGGCGAACACTTTTCAACGGACGATCAGTGAAGCAGACTCCTTCCGGTTGGTTCAACCAGCCAACCCAAGTGACTCTCGACCATTGCCAAACAGTCAAGCAGACAATTGCATGGTTGTCTTCAGCAGCTTTAGTGCAAGCTGCGGTGTAAAAGCACCTGTCGAATTGGGGGAACCTCCGCACGAAAACGGTCTCACCAAGCTCGTCCCTGAGAACCTCCGCGAACTTCGGCCACGCACAGTGCCACAGCCACACGCATGCCACACGCCACAGCCTCGCCTGGAAGCTCATGAAGATACTCGCAGGATTCCCACTGATGCGATAGGTGAACTCCTCGACAACTCCATTTTGGGTGCCGACTGCTGAGGACCGACCCGACTCGGAGCGTCCCTTGTCTTGGGCTTCTTGGTATTCGAAAAGCCATGATGCCAACAAATCTAAACACCAATCTCAATTCACAGCAAGCAAAGATTGCAAAGAAAAGGAAATTCATCTCTTTTTCGAGTCCCTTTTTTGTGCAGACGTCCAAAACCAACAAGTATAGGCAGAAAAAAGACCAACACCTAGACCTCCCTCTCTCGGTACGCAAAAAATAAGCGTTCTCCGTGACGTTCCGAGGGAAGATGAAGCGGTAGAAGTCGATGAAGGCGCCCGGTCTCTCGGGGATGTAGACCGCCTCGGCGCGTGTGTCGGTGGTCCGAGGTCCACCGGCGTACAGGCATCCAGTCGCGTGTGCGATTTGTTGGCCACGGGCTGGATGAAGCTGAAGTGAAGAAAGCAAAGCACTCCGCACTGACCCTGCCAACACACTTGTTTGGCTAAAGTGTTGAAAATAACTTCTGTAAGGCACTGTAAAACAGGATGACACTTGCAAATCAGTAGAGCAGGTTCCGTGTAGTAGAAACTCCACATCATGTAATCTTGCAACTTGCAACCAGGTGAGCCGCAGGACAAACCCAAAAACTCAATCCCTCATCCTGTTCTCAAGAAACTGATCATATCTGCAATCTTCCAGGAGCAAGATAGAATCAGGAGCAACCAGGATAAGTAAACCTCGTCCAACCTTTCTCTGCAATGCTACCAACTTTCAAAAAAGTCTTCTGGCCGAGCTTGTGAGAAAGCCTTGGATTTGTTGGTCTGGCCTGCCTGTTAGTTTGGTCCATCTGTCTCCCTTTGTTCACAACAATCCATCAGTCATCCTATGGTCCCTACCTTTCCCCAAGATTCGTCTTGGGGATCCTCCCCATGAAGAGATGTGTCTTGACGACCAAATTCGCAGGTGATTCAGACCCAGATCCTGAATAAGACCCCCTGATGAAGCTGGACGCCGTTCCAAGGCCTTCCAAAAAAGAGGCAGGACGCCGTTCTTGGGCCCCCCAGGACCTTTGGGAAGATGCTCGGTTGAAGATCTCCTCCAGAACCGCATTCCATGATCAAAGGGATCCAGCCAAAAACTCTCCTCCCTCAACCCCCCCCGCATCCCACCAATCGCCGCAGTGGCAATGTGGGTCTCCGAGGTGTCCGCGCGTTCGGAGACAAAGCGGAGACGATCCTGAAAGGAGACGATCCATGGCCCCCCCTTTTCAGCTAAAAGAAGGAAATCCTGCCCCTGAAAAGTCGTGGAACATGGTCGTATGTTTTGTCACCAAAAGGGATTGCCAAACAAACACCTCGGCTGTGGGACAAACACCCAGGCGCTGCTGGCAGGTCGCATGGATCAAATCAATTTCAGTTTCAGGTTGGTTCAATCTGTCTTTAAAACAAAGTTCATCATTGATACATAAAAGGGTCGGTATAGATAATAAACAGAGCCAGGTATATATAGTATATAGGGTGTCTTGTTCATCCCACAGTGTCCTACAGAGGCGGGGAGCAAAATCAAATTACATGTTTCTGACCGTCTCTCAAGTGGCCGACCACCCAGCTGGACTGGTCACTGCCAGGGCACGAAGTCCATGTTTGCACCACTACTGACCGCCACCAGAGTCCGCCCCTGACGTTCACTCAGCGGCTTGATTCGGCGGTAGATGTGAAGGGACGTCAGGGGATGTCAAGAGGTCAAAGATTTGTTTTGGGAGACTGCAAACAGCTTATAGTAGCTGTAAGATCTGTAGTATACCTAGTATATAACTAGAGTATATTGTATATAACTAGTATACATCGAGTGAGTCTTGTGATCTTGAGAGCAACAAGTCGCCTGGAGTCGCGACCGTCCGGGCCCGGGGTGGTCCTGTCGTCCTCGGCTTCGGCCCGCCTGCACCAGGTCCTGCCGTTCCATGGCATAGCGCTTCAGCCCCGCCGTGGCCAAGGCGCCGGCGGGCTCCAGGACCACACCTGCGGACGCCGAAGGTTCGGGAGCCAAGGGGGGGTTCGGGGCCCACCTAAGACTCGAAGCATGACACAAATCAAAAAGGATGGGTATTGGAAGGTTTGAAGGTTTGAAGCTTGGTTGGAATGTTGTTGATTCCGTGTGCGCTTGATTGTAGCTGTCTGTTGTTTCGTTCTGCTGGTCTGCCAAAGCAAAGGAGAACAACCACCATTGAGGGAAAGCAAAAAGCGTCGCAGTGACGGTTCCTCGGAGTCTTTTCCAAGGGCTGCGGGGTGGAGCCCGGATCTAGACACTTCCATGATAAGGAATTCAAGCTAAAACAAACAATCCAGGGTAAATGTATATGTCAATGTTATCTATGCTATAGAGTGACAGGGAATGAAACAACCCTTTTCTCTTGGATGCTCCAGTGCGTTTGTCTTATGGTCACGCCAAGGCAAATGTGACTTAGGCCCTAGGCATTCTTCTACATTATTCTACTCTACTAAGAAACAGAAAGAATGAAAAGACCATAAATAAAAGAATATACTGTAAAAGACGTATAAACGTACAGAGAATAGAGTAAATCAGTGGAATGAAGTGTGGGGGTTGTCCTCAAGTCCCCTCGTTGGCCCAATGGCAGGCTGTTTAGCGACGTGTTTTGTCGCAACGTCGACTCTCGACCAAGAAAAACTTTGACTCTCGACCGTTGGAGAACCGAGGTGCGAGTATCTTTGAAGGAATCCTTGATGGCAGCGCAAATCTCGTCCTGATGGAGCTCGCCAAGAACCATGCGCCAACCGTACGCGCCAAACCGTGCGCGCGCTCTCGCACCTCCGTGCGTGTGGCGGTTTTCCAGACCGCGGGCGGTGGCGGTGGCGACCCCACCAAGACGGGCGTGAAAGACCGGTGAAAGACCCTCGATTCTGCCCTTCAAGGTCGAAGATCCACGGCCGAACAGAGTTCCCGTCGTCGAACACATCGACCACATCGATCGCGGTGAACCCAATCACCTTTGCTTCGAAACCACCAACCACCACGCGTGCGCACGTGCTGTCCGATTTCAGCTGCCCGTGGCGGTGGACACAGTGACTCTCTCCGAGTGTCGGTGGAGACGGTGATCATCTCGTCGGCGAAGGCCGTGCAAAGACGGAAGGTCTCGTCCCCCACTTTGGCCACCTCGGGCCGAGGAAAAGGACCATAGTGAAAGGACCATGGTTTTTGGATGAAAAGGAAAATGAATTCAAAAGACCCTGAAGTGGGCGACCTATGTCTTCAAAAGACCCTTCGGAGTGTCAGACTCTTGAAAGTTGTTTGAGCTGCTGGGCTAAAGCCTTTGAAAGGATTTACAAAACATCACTGTGCCATCCTCATCGGCCGACGGTCTAAGGTCTGCGTATGTGGACTGCCCATGCCTCAATGGAAAATGGAGAGGTCCGAAAACGGCCAGCGGATGAAAGGGGCTTTTGGAGCCTTAGCCTTCTCTCCCAAAAATGTGCACAAAAGGATTTGACTGGGCCCCATCTGGGGCCAACAGTGTGAACAACCCAACTCATTCGATCTGCCAAAAGAGTGCTGATGGAACAGATCTTGAACCACCTTCTCGAAGTCTCGAGAAGGTGCTTCACTGAGCTTCACTGGGCATTTGTTCGGAGTCTTCGCTCTTCCAATCATTTTGCCCAGGGGCCGCTGCTCCATCCGCGAATTGACCCACCTCGGGTTTCCCGGAAACGACGCGGCGACGCGTGCGCGGGCGCGGGACCAATTGGGCTCAGTGGAGTGTCCGCTTCAGTGCCCGCAAGTCCGATGGCATTGCCTTCTTGGCGAGACCATGAACAAAAGGTACTCAGGTACTCCTTGTTTATCCTGATTGTAGTCCCGAAAAGGTGAATAAGGTGGATCAAAGGTACAAAATACGCCACGAGTGGCAGTTTTTGGCTGCTTCTACTGGGCATGCTTGACCACAGTTGTCTCAACTGCAAAGGTACCTACATTGTGCTATTAAACTCAGCAAACCAACCCCAACCAGCTGTTCAGGATGACAAGAGGGCTCTACCGACCCATGAACAGAGACTAAACTACACGAGACCACCGCAACTCATGGCAAATCTCATATCAGAAAGCAAGGAGAAGTTTCTCAGATTAGAGAGTCAGCAAAGAATGATCAGCAAAGCAAGCATCCTTGCTCGTTGGAATTGTCTTCATTCTTTCATCCCGAAAAAGATGAGTCCGTCACTCAATCTTCGAGTCCGTCACTCAATCACGCCAAAGCGCTGATGCCATCTCAACAATCCTTAGATCAGAGGACTGACGGATGCCGTCCCCTAAGCGGCCAGAGTCGGGCGGACAGTCCCACCAGGTTTTCACACCCGCAGAGACTGCTAATTCTAATTACTAATACTTGTTTCTACTAGCTTCTTGTTACTAGGTAGCGATGCCAGGAGCCTCTTGTAGCGTCCTTGCTCGCCTTAAAAAAGGCCTAAAAGTACATGTACAGTCCCTGCTTTTCAGCACTTGGCCCAAAAGTTCAGAGAAGTGGACCCCCTTTTTGCTGACAGAAACGATGCTTTGCAAATGGGACACTAAACTGTGACACTAAACCACTGGGACACTAAACTGGTCGTAAATGTATGTATACACATATACACCCTCACCACCTCAGTCTCTCCCAGTCTCACCAGCTCAGTAGTCATCGGAGGCTCTGCTTGGCCTTCAAACTCTCAGTCATCGCAGCAGAGTCAATTGCCTCTACACCGATGACCTGGTCTCACGCGTCGTCTGTGTCGTGTGTGTCGTGTTGCTGGGAGGGTTGAAGCACCGTGTGGCTCGTGGCAAGCACGCATTGTTTTTCGAAGAATCCACGGAGCTGCTGTTGTTCACAAGGTGAAGGACAACCATTCCCCCGAATGACTTAACATACGGCCGCGGTCCTGCAAAAGGAACCTATAGCCTATAGACTAATTATAGAAGAGCTGAAGGTCTTTAAAGAAGGCAGCATGATGCAGATGTCTTTTTGTTTGTTAGCCAGTGACCCACCCACCAAACTGTCTCTTCGTTTGAGGGTCCGGAATGCCTCCTTTCCCACCCCGCACCTTGATGGAAGGCTTCACCGCCTTCAAGAAGGCACCCACACCCGCCAACAAGCCACCACCGCCGACGCAGCAAAAGACCGCTTCCACGTCCTCCTGAAGAGCGACGGAAAAAACCCGCGGGTCGGCGCGGGCATGCGTCGTGCGGTGTTGCGTTTGTGAGATCGTTTTTGACCTCGTTTTTGACATCGATTCTTGGTGGTTTTTGCGCTATCAAAGATGAAAAGACTGAATATGAGCTCGGCGAGTTGGTTGCATACCTTCTATCGTGGCTTCAGGGGGCGCTTCAGGGAGCGGATGTGAGCTAGTGGCAGCGCAGCTTCAGACATCAAGTCGCCTGTGTGCGGCTGTACGCCAGTACTTCCAGAATGCCTCTAGCAACTGCACAGAAGTTGGGTCTATCCTATTACCAAAGCCCAGTGGATGATGATGGTTCAGTTGCAGGCCTTCCTCTAAAATAGTGATAATCATTTACTGACAGTTACAGGTAAGAACGGACAGACCCAACACATAAGCATGATTGAGAATGTTGTCAATCTGAAGACTCGGATCAAGGTCTGCATGGATCTGCCTTCGTAGTCTGCTCCAGGATCTCCTGGTAGCACAAACGACGTTTTTCAAGTGAAACAGGTGGTCTGACCGTCTGGCCGCACTTCCAATCAAGCAAATACTGCTTCAGACACGGAGGGGAACCAGTGAGGTGAATCATGGAGTGGACACGGATGGTTTCCGCCCAAAAAAAGAACGAGGCCCAAAACACCTTCCATCCTCTTTCGCCTTTCGGTTCCTTGGTCTATTTTTTAAACGTGAAGAACGCAGTCCCGAATATCGATGGAGAGGAGCAGGCGAGGCGCCAAAAGAGGTTCCAAGGTCTGAAACAGCGACGTTCCGATTCTCCCAAGTTTCAACACACTCCGCCTGCACCTGATGCTTTTGGATGAACAAAATCCATCTCACGGACGAATCCGGCTGCTAAATGATCGAAATGAAATACTTCCCCTGGCGGAGTCGCTGGTGTTCTGTTTTTCCGCGCCTTCCCGATGGTGCCCTGGCCTGCAATGACCAGTGGATCGTTGAACCTTGGCACTTACCCAATCGGCTCATTATGTGGCACGTTCTTTCATTCCCGTCGAGAACGTGGGGTGGACAGGAACCGGAACACCTGTGGACAGCGTGCACAGAGGGTTCCTGAAAACAACCACCAGTCCCAAAGCGGGACTGACATTTCCTGCATTCTTCGCTGGGTTTTGACCGTAGGATTGGCTCAAAAGGTGGCTTCATGGCCGATCTCCATAACCCGATTTGGCGACCGATGTCAGAATACAAAGTGGGACGGAGTTTCTTTTGTTGGAGCAAACAGGCGTCCTCCACGACAAAAGAAGACACAGGCAGGTAGGTTAAAAGAAAACATACTCATGCGTTGCGATCCAATCTACTTTTGAGGTGTCAACCCAGCGAGGCGGTTCTCCAAAATGACCAGCTGTAGAATTGTTTGGGTGATATAACATAATGATATATCTAGGCACCTGATCCCAACGAGATGGCTTGTACATGTTCGTACTGCAAATGTGAGGTTAGGAGACGCTAATGATTTCTCAAAAGGTACCCTGAACTTCTACCACGTTCCCTGCGGTCCCTGCTTTCTCCAAGCCCCAAACACGGGAAACCAGTTTGTTGATGGTTTGAACCTCTGTTAGGTTTCTACTAGTAAGTGATGGGCAAGCCCTCCCTTTGGTTTGCCCTCAATAGCCTATGCTGTCGCTTTCTATACCATGAACCGAAAATGGCAACGTAACAAGAGAATGTTCTACATTCTACATTATTTGTCCATCCGCAAGATGTGTTCCCCATTCTCAACCACCGAAGCATCTTGACTATCCCAGATCACTGTCCCAGAGACGGATGGACCAGGACCCTCCCCTCTGCTTTCATGCACTCCTCAGTTCCGCGACGAGTCGCGTGACCACTTCACTAAGAATCTTCACTAGCTTATTGACGCGACCGATGCGAGTCCTTTCCCAGATGTTTACGTGCCACTAACACCTACAGGTCCACAAGCACAAGTTCCAATATGTGCCAAGGACCACAAGTACAAGACCTTTGAAAAGGCCAGGTTTGTTGCAGGCACTATAAGAGCAAGGAGATGGCTGTGGGTCAAAACCTCACTCACCAAACTATGCAAGGTTGACATCCCTTATATATAGAGGAATCTGTTCATTTGACCAGGGGTCAAGCAGGGGCTCCGGGCTTTTGGTTCCCGGATTGGTGTTTTTGGTTCCCGCGGTGTTTTTTCTTCCCGCGTTGGTGTTTTCGGTTCCCGCGGTGTTTTTGGTTCCCAGGTGGGTTTTTGGTTCCCGCGCGGCGGTGTTTTCGGTGCCCGGCTCGGTTTTTTCAGTGCCCGCGGGTGTTTTCAGTTCCTGTGATGGTGTTTTCGGTACCCGCCTTGCGTTGAAGAGAGAAAAATGCACGGATGTTTTCGGTTCCCGCGTCCGGTGTTTTCGGTTCCCGCGTTCGGTGCGTTTAGGTCTCCGGTGTTTGTGGTTTTCGCGTCCGGTGTTTTCGGTTCCCGTGTCGGGTGTGCTGTGATCCCGTGTGAAATGGTGGGAGTCTTGTGTTGTCGCGGGACAACGCGAAAGAATTGTTGTAAAGACACGAACAAAATCCCCGTCTACATTAGGGGGGAGGGGTTGACAACCGCAGTTTTGTAAGGGACCTAGGGTTACAGTCTACAAAAAGCCCTGACCCAAGGGCATTGGGCTTATACAAAATGGCATGGGCCAGAGTGGGCTTGTACAAAAAGGTTATGCCTGAAGATCACTATCTTATGCTGAAAAGTGCATAAAACAGCCATTCAGCAAAGTGATTTCTCTACAAAATGGTATCAAATACCTGGTCGAGGACATGATTCAAGACTCCATTTGTTGACCATTCCGGAACCATTCTGTAGAGAAACTGTGTGCGCACGCATCTGACTGTTCTTTTTTTAATCCAAACTTGAGCGGCGATTGTACTGTGCAATGGCATATGTTGAACATCGGACTCTAATAGACGATGTCAGAAACTATATGATTTTTTGTTTTTGTTTAATGAACTTGCGGTGCTAACGGAAAGTATATTAAACAGTGCTTACATCTAAAAATCTTGCTTACAGTACAAAATGGGGATGACCCTGAACTATCTCTACAAAATGTGAACCTCAGGTATTTGGAGACTAATTCACATTATCCATTCTAAACTTGACCTTTGCTGTCCTGTGAAATAGTGTGAAATGCATTCAAATGCCAATATGATTCTTTGTTCATGCCGACTTTGTGTGACATGCCAATATGATTCTCTGTTCATGCCCACTTTGTAAAGACAAACATTGGTGACAGTCATTGTGTAAACAAATCTTTGGTCCATCCTCATTTTATGAATCGTGGCTGAGTTTCTCAATGCTCTTTGGTCAGCGGAAGGAAGAGTTGGCACCACGTGTACTGGGACGAGTCCATTGGATGCAGAGTGGATTTGTTTTATGTACACCGGGTACGCCGCTGAAAAAGTTGTTGGCGCAACTCAGGGGGTAACCGGCATAGCCATAGATGGCTCAACACCACATACTGAACATTAAACATCACGAAAACTAAGGCTGCACCTTGACCAAACCAAGCGTTTTTGTAGATTCTATAGATGGCGCATCCCAAAGCTCTTTTTCCTATCCTAAAAAATGAACGCGGCAAACAAACACAAGGACTGCTCAGGAATCTGGACATTGAAGGATCAGTTTTCACCTCGGAGTATGTATTTGTATCTGACTCAGGCGACTAAAGAATCTGACTCCAAGAAACGAACACTCAAACGTGTACAAAAAGGGTACCCTGACCCCCTGTTTTTCCTTGATTTTGGCCCTGTACAAAAAGGGTACCCTGACGTCCTCATGTCTCATATAAATGTTCTCTAATTTTTTTTGATCATAACTTGGATGCCGATTTTGACTCTACAAAATGGGAGGGTGTAAGTTTCGGCATCTGCCAAAAAGTGCTTTGTTACAACATGACCCCTTTGTAAGGGCCTCGAGCTACCCCTATCTGTAGAGGAAATGCGTACGGGGATCGAACAAACACGAACCACCAACAGCCACAACCACTACTACCACTACCACATCCACCACCTTCACCACCACCACCACCACCACCACGACCAGCACGAACAACAGCAACAACGACCACAACAACAACAACAACAACAACAACCACCACCACCACCACCACCACGACGACGACGACGACGACGACGACGACGACGACGACGACGACCAACAACCACGACCAACAACGATCAACAAAGAACATGCGAAAATCGACGACAACAACAACAACGCCACCACCACCAACAACAACTACTACTACAACTACAACGACAACGAGCAGCAGAACCGCCGCAGCAGCACCACCAGCAGCAGCAACAGCAGCAGCCGCATCCAGCAACAGCAACAGCAACAGCAACAGAAGCAACAACAACAACAACAACAACAACCACAACAGAAACAACCGCGACAGCGACAGGAACAGCGGCCGCAAGAACAGCGGGAACAGCAACAGCCGCACAGCAGTAAAGGACTGGCTGCATGGCATGCGATCATTTGATACATTCGCCACACGGTCATGAAGGAGCTGTTGCGCGGGTACCTTGGAAGACGGCCAGGCCACTTCCATACGCCTCTCCTGCCAGTGTGAGAAGCAAAACATCGATTGCAGACTCTGAAGACAAACATGCAATTGAATGGAGTGGAGGAGTCTAGAGCAAGCTTTTGGCGCACGAGCCTCGTCGCGCACCGGCTCATCCTGACAAGGCAGAACGAGCAACGCAGGACAGGCGACAAAGAAGGACAGGTGGCAAAGAAGAACCGCCGCAGCAGCAGCAGCAGCAGCACCACCAGCAGCAGCAACAGCAGCAGCCGCATCCAGCAACAGCAACAGCAACAGCAACAGAAGCAACAGCAACAACAACAACAACAGAAACAACCGCGACAGCGACAGGAACAGCGGCCGCAAGAACAGCGGGAACAGCAACGGCCAGCACAGCAGTAAGCACGGACAAGAGCGAAACTACGTGTTGCAGAACCAAACAGTACTGCTGCAGCTGGGGGCCAAACGACAGCGAAGCGGAGGAATCCAACCTGGTAGGCTCAGATTTAGCAGCGCAAAGCTAAGTAAGCAGAAGCAGCTGCAATTAAGCTACAGGCTGGTGTTTTCACTGTAAGGGCGCAGTGCTGGCGCAAATAGTCTTTGGCGGTCCAGCACCAGTTGGCTTGGTACAAGGTTACATGCCAAATTGTAACGGCATGGTAGGAGCGATACACTACATGATAGATAAGTTTGTACCACCTGCCTCGTCTTCTTCGCTGAGGTTCTCCCAGCGCGTCATGGCCAAAAATGAAGCTCTGTATGCTTTCGTCTATGTGTTCGTACAGTGCGGTGTTCTTTGTCTGTTTAATCGTGTGACACGAGTACGTGCTTTCAAATCCAGCGGTGTAACGGCATGGTAGGAGCGATACACTACATGACAGATAACTTTGTACCACCTGCCTCGTCTTCTTCGCTGAGGGTCTCCCAGCGCTCATGGCCAAAAATGAAGCTCTGTATGCTTTCGTCTATGTGTTCGTACAGTGCGCGGTTATGATGGTGTCACCGGGTACCTTGTGTTTTTGCGGCAGTGGGTTTACGCAAACTGACATGTTTTTACAGCGAATGGCGTTGACGGTTTTGCAGTGTTCTTTGTCTGTTTAATTGTGTGACACGAGTACGTGCTTTCAAATCCAGCGGTGGGCAATGGTAGCCAGAAATTCAAACGAAAGCTGACAAACAAACACGTGAAAGGGCACACAAACACAGGAGCTGGGCAAGGAAAACACCAATCCAGGAACTGAAAACACACAGACCTGGGGGGGAGATCAGAACTCCGGGAAGGGAAAACACCAAGAGTGGGAACCAAAAAAAAACAATACAGAAGGCGGGAAGGAAAAACACCAATCCAGGAACAGACTTGGGAACCAGAAACACCACGGGAACCGAAAAAAACAATCTGGGAAAAGGAAACACCACGGGAAGGGAAAACACTAATCTGGGAACTGAAAACACCCAACCCGTCAAACAAGCAGGGTGCCCCTGTGCCGTGACCCCCAGCCGGCCAGCTCTCCTGCTCTCCTGCTCTGCCAAGGTTCCATGGTCGCTGCATATGCCGCATCGTAGTTGTCGCCCACGAGGATCACTTCTGACTTGGCGTTGGAGAACCTGACAGCCGAAAAAGAATCAGACCGCTTGGCCAACAGAACCAGCAGAAAAAGGAAAAGCATCTGGATGCAGCTGTGGAATCATCTGGTTTGGGATATCAACTGGATGGTTGGCATTGCGAACACTCCCTTGTCCACACCCTCGACGGACATACGTTTCCACACCTCTGCAGCAGGTTCCAGGATCGATGGAAATGCGTGGCTTGGGGGGGGCACGTGTCCTTATCGTCAACGAGTTCTGGTAACCGGGCACACTGGTCAGTTGATCCAATCGATCTTTGCTACAGAAACAGACATATATTCAACAAGGTGCCACAAGGATAGCATCCAGTGATCCAAACTCTTTTCATAGCATCCTTATCACAAGGTCAAGGTCGGCCAGAAAAAGGAGTACAAAACGATCTGCTTCCAGATGAGTCGATACGAGAGTACTGGAGCGCACCACCAGGCTTTGGCAGTCCTCATTTCTAAGGATTGAAGCTCTCAAAGACTCATAAAGACTCAAATCATCAGAGGGTTTGATGGGTTGCACACCTCACATGTTTGATCTCCAACTGAGGTCCCACGTCCAGAGGCGTGTGCCATGTACACTAAAGTCTTTAAGCATAGCAATCGGAACTTCGACCTTCGAGCATATCACGGATTCAACAGGTCGCCCATCACCCTCATGTATTCCAGTCCGGAGTAGAATGTTGCCATTTTGCCACAAACAAATGAAATGCCAGACACAGAACAAGAACGACCAAATCCCCCAGTCTCGCCCGTTCGATCGCACGACGCGTACTAATCGGACTCTTCCGTCCGTTCGTCGCTGCCTTCGCACGGAGTCCACTTTGATATTGGGCGTGGTCTGCGGCATGAAGATCTTCGCCTCAGCGAAGATGAATGGTGGGATGGAATCATTTTCCTGGACAGGGTTCTTGGAGTTTTCTTGTTCCATCACTTGGTGTCAATTGCTTCTTGAGGCTGGTGGTGCTTGGGACTAAGCTCCAAAAGATGCGCAATTGGATGAAATTGGAAAACGATCTTGCCATAGAAAACAATATACAGTAAATACAATATAAACAAAACAATGGTTTGCTTCAAGTTTCATTGGAGGTCTAAGCAAGTCTTGACTCGCTGACGTGATCTGCAGAGGTCATTGAAGCAATCTGGCCCTGGCCTTTCCATTAGACCAGCAACAGTTAAATAGTTATAAGTTGTATAACATGAAATCTAAAGAAATAGCCTCAAGATGCATCAGAAGGCCTTTGGGGTGAAAGTGGATACACTCCCTCCAACAATTATGGTTGTGTGGATGGCATGGCCCCTGGAAAGACCATTGTCCTCTACAAACCAGGGATTGTCCACTTCCATGTTTGTTGGCTGTCCTGGGTAGCTGACATGTTTGAGGATGTTCCACCCTTGGTCGGTCCTGAACACCAGGAATGCAACTCCTTCTTGATTCTTGCTGCCATGAACAGATGAGACAACACCAGTTTGGATAGTTTGGCTGTACCGTGGCTGTACCACATATGGTCGAGGGGTGCTACTTGAACGCTGGACATCAAAACCCTGCGAATGATCCTGGCAGAAACCTTCTGCATGCCCACAACTCCCCATTGAGACTCATCAGTGCAGAAGAATGAATGCAGCCAGCCAGCAGCTACCAATGAATATCAAATGAATATCGAAATTCTTTTGATGCCTACATATATGCCTACACAGTCCACCCCCGGTGAATTTTCAAGACCCAACCACTGGCAGCCTTGGCACCGAGATATCCAGCGCAGCTGCGGAGTAGGCCACGCCCTGCGCGTGGTTCCCCGCCGAGCAGGCGCAAATGCCCATGGACTTCTCCTCCGGCGTCCTCCGTCAACAAAAAAGAGACAAAAAGATTGAAATTACTCCCCTGAAGATCAACATGGAACCCCAAAAAAAAACACTAGGTTGGTATGAGGAAAATATGATCAGGTTCCACGTGGGTCTCTGAACCCCCCACGAGACCCCTGACCGAGCGACTGAACAGGGGCGTCCTCTGCACCGGGACTGTGGCCGACGAGGTTGGCGGAGTGGCCGGAGGACCAGGGGAAGACGAGATCAGATTGGATAGGACGATAGGACCATCAACGGATCTCGTCCAACTTATCGACCAATTTGCCGGTGTCCCGACTGTCATACTGGGTGTCTTTTTTGGAGATTCTTTGCGAAACACCTGGCACGGGGATGCTCCTTTTGATGCATGGTATCACCGTGAAGATTGGTCCATCTCCTTACTGGGTCACCTGAGAAGCTTGGCTATGAGGGCTCTGAGCCAGGCAATCTTCCCACACGTCCACCCACTTCTTTCGGTATATCCACATATAGCTCCGCGAACCTCTACAAACGGAATCTACAGTGAAACATGTTCCTCGAGGGATCGACCTGAGGGTCGGGGTCCGAACGAACATGGTCATTTTGTTGTGCGAGGATCAAGTTCACGATCTTGTTGTAAGCACCTCTGAGCCTTGGCACCGAACAAGAGGTGTGATGATGTCTTTTGAGATTCTTTGAGAGGTAAGCATGCAACAGCAAAGGATGCTGCACAACAAAAAATGCAGCTGGGCGTCAAGATCATGCTTAGTATGAGAAACAAGCGACATTGCTTTATGACGACTTCGACTGGAGTTTGGATCGTGTCCAATACCTCACAGCAGCGTGCTCTATGAGGGGTGGATTGCGGCGTTTTCGCCTGCACGTGTCGCAGGCATCACTTGGCCCAAGCAGCTTGAAGCTAAAGACACTTTGTTGATCTTCACCTTGGATGCTGGAGAGGGATTGACTTGAACAGTTCACTGAGTGTCCAGTCCGTTATCAGCAGCAGGTAGAACCCCCCTGCACACAGTTATGGACCTATGGACGAGAAATCCAAGCCGAAGATGAAAAACCGGATTCAAGCAGGCTACGGTTAAAGCCTTTCGGTTTTGAAGCAAGAAGGTGTTGGGACTGGGGTTGTTAGGAGAAAGTCCTGTTTCAATTGTTATGTTCATGTTTATTCCATCGCCCAATAGCTTGTGCAGTGTCTTGATACTCTGTCACCTACGATAGTGTCGTCTGCCGACTTCTATTTGAGGACGGCAAATCCATCCCGATGAGTAGAGAACAGGTTGTCATGGTGAATCTAAGCAACATCGAAAAGTTCTCCACGCTTCATTCATCTTACAGTACAGTAAGTCTTTTCTGCATGCATCCACAGTTTGTTCGGTTCCAACTCCCATACATCTGTGTGAAGTCAAGCTTGATAAGACCCACAAACTGACCTAGTTTTCCGGAAGATCTCCACAAATCCCCCTTGACCAAAGAACGGGGGACGACGGAGCAGTCCCGCTCCGTGGATCTCCGAGGGGCGTTTCAGAAAGACTCGGCTGCCCGTGCTCTTCGAAAGCCCGGGAGCAAAGTGTAGGTCCGTCCGCTTGCAGACATCGTAGACCTACCGGGTAGGCCCCGGTAGGTAGGGCATGGTAGGGCGACGTCGCAGTTGGGTGGCACACGAAGAAGTGGTCTTTCATTTGGAGGTCAAGGAAATTCGTCCACTTACCGGTGGCCACCCTTTTTTCAATGGAAGGCAACTTTGAAAGACATTGGCTGCTGTTGACCTCGAGCTTCGATTAGAATTCTGTTGAAATGGTGACATTCATTGGTTTGCTACGTCGCTTCAATAAACTGACTGAGGTCAAAATGATACGAGGTGTCAACTGCCTGTGACTTATGTATGGGCATGCACAGATCACCCACATTCTAAGGATGTGCAACTTAGTCTCTGTCACCGAAAGCTGGCCTTGGCATTGAGAATCATGTTCAGATAGGCCGTGTGCTCGATCACCTCGCTAAAGCGCCGCAGCTGCAGGACACGGCCCGCGCTGCGCACGCTGCGGAATTGCCATGGCCGGGGCGCCGCAAATGGCACGAGCATGGTCGCAAGGAGTTCGAAGGGCAAAATGGCCCACAGCCCCACTCGTGTACAGAGAATGCATTGGGCCATACTGTCATCAGTGGGCACAAAAAAGAAGCAAGATGGTGATCTCGATGGTCTCGTCTTGAGCGAGTGCGTTTCTTCGTGAAAACTTTTTCGGCAGAGCCCTGAGGCACTCTCTTCAGGCCACATCTTGGGTGGGACGATCCGCTGAGACGCATTGTGGGTCAAGTACAGAGAAGACCTGCGTTCAAACCAAGGTGATTGAGATGCAAGTTCGCTTCAGGTCGAGTTGATGGCTGAAGAACATCTTTCAGCATTTCACAAATGTCTTCAGTATTCCGACCTCCAGTCGGTGTCAGCCAGTACGGCTAGGGCCATGTGCTGCGCCAGTTTGTCGTGCTAGTACCAGCTGGGATGTTAGTGGAAGCATCAACTCCTTTTGACTGAATTCAGTGAGAAGCAGAGCTTTGCGGCTTCGCCCTTTTCGGTTTCGCGGTGCTTCCTCCCACTCATCCCGAGCTCCATTCGTCCCTTCGGGTCCTCTTGTCGAAAAGGCCTTGGCGGGGTTTTCACTGTGGCTGGATCAATGGATAGGATCATAGGGCAATGGGTTTGAGGGCTGAGAGTTGCTCAGAGGCCTCAGGGTATGACATTATGATGAGTTCCAAACATGAGATCTACTGTATTTCGAACTTTCAACACTGCAGGTGCACCGTACAACGTTGGACGGCTTCACTCGCAAGAAAGGGCATTCACAGTATTCACGTGTCTTTCGCTAACTTGGTCCACATTTCTACTTGTAGTCTTCGAGGTCAAGGATATAAAAGGATTGGTCATTCATTACGATGCTGTGTAGAGAGTGTGTTCTCCACCAGTCTCCAATTCTCACCAACTCTCACTGACCTGAAAGAACCCGCGCTCCCTGGGTTTTGCATTCATTGGACATCAGACTTCATCCGACCTCCTACCGTCGGAGTCCTTCCGATTTTCCGCACAATCCCACCGGCCGATCGATCACGATGCGACCGTCATCTCCGGGGCGACCAATCAGACCATCACCATCCACATCCGATCGCCACTTCCAGCCTAGATGCTGAACCGGCACCTCCACCTGCCAGCACTGTTCAAGGTGAAAATGTTCAGACGCGAAAACCGATGAGCAAACGATTCGGAGGTTATATACTCAAACCCATTTGGGATCATTTCGGTCTCTGGAACTCTGGAAGTTCAAGATCCCCACGCTTCAGCAAACGCGAACCCATTCGTGAGTGTCCTTTCTCTATGAAAAGCCGACGACTGGAGCCAAGGCTTCCGTGTCCCGACCGAGGTGGAGGTGGATGCCTTCAGTGGAGCCGAAGACCAAAGAGTCCAGTGGTCCCAGTGGTCTCAGTGATCAAAAGATCCTGGCCCAAGTCCTACACCTCCCCACTGAGTTGATCCTACCCAAGGTCGTGATGAACAGCGCGCAGAAAAATCGGTGCAGTTCGAAAAGTTGCTCAGCACATCTTTTTGACCATTGACCATCATAAGACTACAGCGTTGCCAAGCTTCAACTCTGTGAAGCCAGCAAGTGTTTTTCCAGCTCATCCTGGAGGGAGCCATGAAGCAATTGCACTGATGACAAAAGTTCCATCATGTGCTGCCATGCATCATCGCATTTCCCTCGAACTGCCTCCGTCGCTTGCTCTGAGGAAAAGCGAATCTCATAGTTCTTTGCAGAAGACTGCTCCTTGGGTTTGCTCAAATCTGTGACCTCGGCGATCTTGGACACATTCACCTCGAGATTTTCCTGTGGATCCATCCAAACACACTCGTCACGACATGTCACACTCTGCAACCGCCAGCCAGATGGCAAAGGGCTGCTAGCAAAGGCTTCAATGAGCTTTGCTTTATCCTGCCAGATCTCACGGCATTGCACATCCAAGGCTTTCAAGGCATTGATCAGCGGCTCTTCTAGCCGTTTGACCTCTGGACTGGACGTCACAGACATCCGAAAGTCCGGAGCATGGCCAAGCCGACAAACATCCCCTCGGAAGAGCCTCTCAGTGGCCGTCTTCGCACTGAATGTTTGCAGGCCTCAAAAACAGTCATGCGACATGCGCAAGGGCTCGGGCACAAACAGGGAGTGAACTCCTCTGCTCTACCACATCCAAAAAAGAAATGAAGCATCACACCAATTACAACCAATCACTGAGTTTGGGACCATGGCCAGCTTCAAACAGCATCTGCGCAAGAAGGCTGGAATGAGATAAGAGTCTATCTTCAAAATCTTCAAAATCTCGACATAAATGTTGTTAACAGGATAAGCCCACAAACAGCCTCTTGACGCACACAAAACCATACAAAACGTCCCTCGTTGGGGCCATTTAGCCAAGAAACCTGGAGAACCTCGAGCTCTAAAACCGGAGTGAAATACACAGTCCCCTGGCTAAAACGCTAAGTCATCCCAAATCTCCCAGATCCTTCAGATTTCTTCAGAAAGCCTTTGTTTCTTACTTTCTTGCAGCCTTTTCAAAAGCATTGCAAAAAGTTAGTTACCCACCGATCTCAATTGGTGTAGGATGTCTTCCCTCAAAAGACTCGCTGTTGAGGTCTTTCTTCAGTGCAAAAGAGTCAACTGGTACGGCCTTCGAGTACGGTGGACGAACAGCCAGGGCTTCCTCTATGGACATCAGCATCGACGGAGGTCCTCAGTAGAGGAACAAAGTCTCCCAAGTCTTGAAAAATTGGTTAAAGACCGGGACTAACTCATCGGATGGAAGACTGGGACGATTCTTCCCAAGAATGGGAAAGACAAAAATGTGTCATCCACTGACCAATGAAAAAGAAATGCCGCCCTGCTCAAAATGATTGCTTCAGCGCCAAATGGATGAACATATCTACTTCCAATGAAGGGAAACAGCCCTTTTGCAAGACCAGGGGGTTCGCCTCCGTCCAAACCCCTACTTGCAAAACATCCAGGACACGGAAGTCCATCTTCGTCTGCATACCTTCTGCCGACTCCTTGATGATGTCCATCACGCACCAACACCCGCTGAACTCATTGTGCGAAGGATGCAGCAAATGTTCCAAGCTCCTTCTTGCAAGGCCAACACCTTGGACTTGCCAACAAACAGAAGTATGAGAGCGATTCACTTTCCGGACAAGCCAGTCAGCCAGTCACGGCTCCCTCAGGAATGGTCCTGATTCTGGGGCCATCCTGTTGGATCTGGAACCCGGTCCTCAAATTTCCATGGTCGATGCGGGGCCCTTCAAGTAGTTCTGTATCTCTGCCCGGGAATGCAAAATACGAAACAACTCAAGGAACTCCAATGTTCCAAAGAAATGACATCTCTTCAGCAAAAATATAATCTTCCTCCAGGTCACGTTCAGGTGCAGGACTTGCCATCTCTGTGAGACGCAAAACCTCAGCATGGGACGTACACCTCCAGATGCGTCGCATCTCTTCTGCCCGTGCCGTGGTGCTCAAAGGATCGAAGAAGGTCACCTGGCCGGTTCATCGTGGGTGGCGGACGAGTTGGTTCAGCCCCTGTGGGCTAAGCCACGGGTGGGTAACGAGAAGACTTTCAGTGGGGAAACAATTACCTATATTTATATGCATATGTATACCAAGCCTTAAGCTTCAGTGCCTTGTAAAAATAGGGTTCCAAATGTCCCTTTGCATGTTGGGGAAAGGCTTGGGATTTCTTGAGTCGTCCTGAACATGGGAGCCTTTTTCGGCGAGCCATTCTTCCTTCTCAAGGTGCAATCCTGTTCTGTCCACATTTTTGCTTACTCAACACAGATCAACATCACTCTCTCAACAAAACACAGAATAACAGGACAGCAGGCGAGTTGGACTGTGTCATTTGTGAGAGGCACCTCCCGCTTCTCCCCGTCATTCTCCGGCTTGACGTAGATGGTGATATTCAACAAACGTTGACAAAGCACAAAGCTACACTGCTTCAAGACAACGTCCAGGGCTGTCTGCACCTCTTCTTTCAACCGAGCAGCAAACTGTGATTTGCACTCCTTGTAACTCAGTTGGTCAATGCCACCCGGCTGTGAAAATAATGGACGGTCGGAGTCGGGACCCCAAAAGAAAAGCTGGCCCAAGCGAACAGAAACCCTGGCATCCGAGAGCTTCACATCTGGTGTCTCCGTCAAAAACCTTTGGAAAGCTGGATGGAAGGACATCCAATCAAAAAGTTCAGAGCAATACTTGTACTTCCCGTTGAAAAGCACATGATGTTGCTGAGACGCATCAGAGATCTTCTCCAAGACGAAAAGGTTCCCGCTGAAAGGGTATGTCTGCCGAAATTGGATGGGGCAAACATAGAAGGCCTCCAAAGCCGCCACCGGCACCAATTTGGCACACAGAGCATGTGCTACGCCGATCAGAACGTTATGCGTTTGTGGAGCTTTGTGCGATGCACCAGCTCGATTTACTAACATTTGCACCTTTCGCTTTGCTGTATCTACTTCCTCCGCACTGCCGCGGATCACCACCACCATTTGATGTGAGCGCTGCCCTACGAAGGTTTCTTCCCATTCCGTCTTTTGGTCCGAAATCGAGAGACGAGGATGCTCGGACTTTAAGGCCTTTAACTGGCTGCCTTTCTGCCCAACGACTGTGCCAATAGCATATCCAGGCACCATCACTCTCTCCTCACTGATCTCACTGACTGGCATCCATTGAAGTCTATTTCGATGTGTCCCTTTGCCGGCACCATTCTCCTGACCTTTTCCCTTTGCTTTCCCACCTTTCTGTCGGGAAGCCTTCCCCTTCCCAACCGGGGCACCCGAACTGTGAGTCTGGAGGGTCTCAAGAGTTCGAGGGCCACTGGCGGTTAACAACTCCTCTGAACGCAAGGGGGTTTCGCAAAATGGACAAAAGCTGCAGCAGGACGTACAAAGGTAGAGCCTCCCCCGGAACTGCTGGCACCCCGGACTGGAGCACATCAACTTGTATTTCCCCTGGCGCTCTTTGCATTCGAAGCACCATGTCACCTCTAGCGAAGTGCTGGAGGTCATCTTCCATGGCACGGAGACTCACTTGGCCGCAGGGATCTTTTGTAGATGCCTTGGTCTATTCCAGTTGCTTTTTGGAATACAAGGTTACAAATGGCAACCTTCCTTGTGGCTCTTGAAATGCTACAAAATCTATCCACTTCAGGAAGGGCTAGTTGAGTGAAATCACGAAGAATCACAGATTGAAAGTGAGGAGCACTGCATGGTCACAGCATCCCATTTCCAGTCCATGGTGGAAAAAACAAATAGACGTTATATTGGATGACAAATATCTTTCCTCAACCCTGGAGTTTGTTGGTAGTTTTCGTGAACTTCATCTGATCGCAAGCCTCTAAAACCCAGCCAAAAACATCAAGGCTCCACAAGCATGCATGCCCAAGGGGAAGTGAACCAAGCTTGCCCGAAGACAGAAGCTGAATGAGATTTGAAGAAAGCTGGATTTCACGCTTCGCAAGCGCAGTTCCTTCATAAGCGCAGTCATTTGAATACCCGATGGTCTATGGTGTGGACCAGAAAGGCTGACAAGAAGTTCTCAATGTAGCCAAAATGAAAAATGACAGCTTGAGGCGCTTGCACATCGTCCACATCGTCAAGCCATCCAACAGCAACTTAGCTTCTTCCATTCAGCTCATCCAGAATATACAGGGGAAAGGAAGGAGATTGGGGATGGCCAATCGATGGCGTGGCTAAAGAATACCAGGAACACCAAATTGAATCCAATTGATTCAACTGATTCTGTTGACGGTCTATTGAGCCAAAGCAGGGTGAAAAATCCCTCAAAGCTCGCTTCGAAACAGAAGAACCGCATCGAACCATGCGTCCCACATGCATCCCACATGCGTGCAGCCCGAATGCGGCCCTTTTGGGACATCGAAACCCTAGAGCTTTGCGTACTGAAAGGACGCTTAGATGACAAGAAACGATTCCTTGGCCAGGCAGGCAAGGCTCATTCCTTGTCTTGAGACACATCCAAATCTTCGCCCTTTTGCTGACCCTGCTCCATTCAAAGCACTAACTGTACTTACTGTATGCATTCTGGGAATTTTGAGTGTGCCTATGGACCCTAGGACACGACACACATTGCTGCCTCTGGTTCATGTCTTTGCTTCCGCAAACGGAGCATGCCAACAACCTGTCATCCGGGATCCGCATAGCCTTCGTGGGTCGAGTCAACTATCTCACTGAGGCCAACTTCCTCTGCTTCGTCAGAAAGCAAGTCCATGCAACAAATGTTTTTTTTGCATAGTTGGTGTTGCTAGGAGGAATGACTTCTTGGTGAAAGCATATGCAATGTGATTGATGCTCACTAGGATGAAGGCCTCCCCAGATGCTTGATAGTCGGACATGCCCACGAGCTCTGCGTGCCAGCAAATTCCGTGCTTTCGTGCTATTGTTCGATCTCTGCTTGTTAAGGATGCAATCATTCAAAACACAAGACGGAGTCCCACTACGAGTAATCACTCAAGCTGCCCAATGATTCACTATCACCATCAAGCCGCTACATCGCCCTGAACATTGCCAGAGATGCTCCGAACACCGGGTCTCAACCCAAGGATCCACCGTTCACACGAGGCCCGCACTAACGTTGCACTGGATGACTCTGCCCTCATCTAGCAGTTTCACTCACGTAATCCTGACACGTCTGCTTTCCTCTACGAACTACTCTCCTATCGGTTCAACCTGCTTCGCTCCGCAAATGGATCCGAAAATCCTCTCAGTCCAGCAACCGTGGCCGCGCAGTACGGCGCAAGGCCCAGGGGGCAACGGCGCTGCCTTGCCGAAACGTTCGTGGGACGGCCGGACCAACCGGGTGTGGTTTGGGGCATGAAAAGCTCATCCCGGCGTCAAACGACTCACCAATGAGGTCTTCACTGGAGTTCTCTATCCAAAAGTGCCAGCTTTACCTGTGTTATTTTTCGTTTAAAAAATATATATATATATAGAAGGTCCAAAAGTGGGAAGCTGTAGTCTTTGATCCCTCGCCGAAAGCCATGTGGCTTGCATACGGCTTGACAAAAAAGCAATGTGGCACTTGGCCAGTACGCCTGTCTTGGATTGTTGGTGCATGCAATTGCGGCTTGAGGCCATTTGGATTTCTGGCATAGCATATTTTGACGAGCTGGTCTCCGCTTCGCTGCTCCTACGGATTCCTGTACGGGCTCGGGCTTTGACAGAAAGGCGTAGGGCTGTCATGACCCTTTTTGTCTTTGCAGCACTGCTTGCGAATGTGGTTCTGATGGAACACGGAGAAAGAAATTGACCATTGTTGAGAATGAACTTGCCTGGCAGGGGTGATTTGTGTGCTGGGGTGGCCCATGGACACCTGAGCCATCCAATGACCAGTTCAAAAGGTGTTGCCACATCCTGCCTTCGCTTCAGCCGGAGGTTTTTTCACATCGCAGGTCCGTGGAGCTGCAGAAACGACCCGTGGAGCTCTCGCCCAACAGCCATCCCATCCGCTCCAGTCTGTGCGGCGCGATTCGTCGAAGAGAATTGTTTGCTTCGGATGGTCTCCTCTTAGAGTTCAATCGTCCTGTCACTGCAGGCGGCAGACAGCACCATGAGGGTGCTCTGGATGGAGATCCCCTCCTGCAACAGCGTCCCTCCTGTGTTGCCTCGGTGGCCACACTTACGTTGAAGCGTTACTGGAGTCCAGTGTCAGGAGTAGACACGAGTTGTTGGAACTAACCATCCACAGATTGTAGTTCAACGTCTCTGTTCTGTAGTGGTCGCCAGGGTGGCACATTGGGTGCATTCACATAATTTTCTTACCAAGCACTGCACCACTCCATGTCTCCATCCCAAAGTCTCGCCCATTCAAAGCACCACCTTCAAATCGCCGCAGGCTCTGCGTTGGAGGAGGCGCTGGGGCTGCCTGTCGGAAGTCGTGCAGGTGCAAGGGGCAGTTGGATGATTTGGATGCTCAGGATGCTAAACAAGGATTCTAGTGACCTGAAGAAATCTCCAACCTCTGATCCACCTCCCCTCTGATCAAAGAATGAGATGTGAACATGTAACATGAGATCCACTGGCAGCAATATCACCACCACAGCAGCAAGAACCAGAACAACCAGAGGAGAGGAGAGGGTTGAGCGGACATCTATCCACCCTGCAAGAGTTGCAGGACCCGACCCCTCTGTCCTTCTGTTGCTGTTACCCCTCGCTTTAAGAAATAGAGTTCTTTTGGTGCTTGCGGAAGAGCCCCAATCTGGTGCTACTTATTCGTCACAAAGAAAGGACATTTCAAGTGTGGAAGTCCTTCTCAAAGCTCGAGATACTCAACCCCTTCAGAGGTCGTGGACCATGAGAGGTCGCCAAGTCAGCTGCGCCCAAGAAGAATCCCTCATCTACCACCCTAACAGCAAGCAACCAAAACCGCGACACTCAAAGCTCAAAACCATCCTCCCCAAGAAAATAGTGGCACACTTGGATCCACATCCACTGGGCCCATTCTTTTTGACTGGTCACTGGTCCCCCCGTTCCACTCGCACATGGTGTCAGCGCCTTGGTGTCAGCCTGGCGTCCGTCGAGCATCGGAGAAGTCAACGGATGGAGCATCGGTGGGTCAACATTGGCATGGATACTTTGCAGGAGCAAAGTGCATCGCTACTAGAAACAAAGGGCATCGCTACTAGGAGCAAGGGCCTTACTACTAGGAACAAGAAGCTAGTAGAAACAATAAGTAAATAGAAACAATAAGCTACTAGGAACAAGTGCATCGCTTCTAGTAACAAGTGCCTTACTAGTAGTAACAAGAAGCTAGTAGAAACAATAAGAAGCTATAGACTTTACCGAAATGGACCCACAAATGCTACCCCCCAACAAGACCGAAATGGATCGAAATGGGTGATGTTTGAAGGCCAACTGGAACTAGAAGCAAGGTCTTCCGACCATTGTTCAACACCTTCGAAAGCAGATGTTCAAAAATCAGAGCCGCTGTACAGCATCTGTAAAATGTGTTTTTAGGTCACCTCACATTGTGGCGCTTTCAGGTTGGCCAAACACTGTGGAACGCAGGCCGCGCTCGCTGCTTCAGACCCCGACGGAGACGAGCTGCTTCAACCGCCGATGAAGGTCGTCCACCTGCAAAGGAAAAAACCCTGGGACGCCCTCGGTGTTTCCTGGTTCTGTGGATCTTGCGTTCCGTTCTTTATTGGTAGGTGCCTCACAGGGATTTGCACTGGTCATATAGGCAGATGGGGCTACTGTTGAATCAAGGAAAAGTGGTTGTAAAAAATAGTTGAGATAGATAGGTGATTGTGTGATTTAGAGGGTTTGTAGATATATAATTTTCTGATAAGAATTGTGTCTTACTGCCTCTGGGAAAGGCAAGCTTCGCACAGAAAGGCAAGCTTCACAAGCCCTCTCTGAATGCCTCACAAAAATGCTCATCTATCCTTCCGAAATCCCGGTGAGGTAAATCACCGGACCCAAGGATGATAGACATTTGGACCCTTGAGATCCAGGCCAAACTCTTTGAGAACCAGCCGATCCCAGCCGTGCAGCACGATCGCACGATCTCGTCAGTGGCCGAAGCATGCTTGAGCGTTTGGACCACCAAAGAATCCCAACAAACACCAAAAGGATCCAAAAAGTCAAGAAGAATGGTTTGGTCATGAGAACCGCCCAACCCAGGAGGTTCCTTTGTGCAGAAATTCTGTTTGTGGGTCTTTGGGAATTCTTCCTGATGGTTTGGTGATCCTAAGATATGCCCCAGCCCTTGAGGCCTCAGCCAGCCCACCCGTTGGTGCCTTGTTCCGAAGTACGGTGAGGCGCTGCCCCTGAAGTCAAAGTGACCAAGGTCCAATGACTTGGTTCCAACTTGAGCGAAGCAAAACATCATCCCAATAGGTGATGTTTCGTTTGGAAGTGGCCCCAGAGCACGGAGACCAATATCTTGTGCGGCGGCTACCCTCAAACACCCAGAACAATGGACAGGTTTATCGATTTCCTTCACAGCAATCTTTAACTTACATGCTTCGCATGTTCCGGCATCCAAAATGCTGCTGCATCATGTTGAGCCAACGGGTGTTTGCCCGGAAAGGCGACCTTTCCGATGGCCCAACATGGTCCGGTGGGATGCAAATGATCCACTTTGTTGATGATGCGAATGATGGGCTGATGAGCTGATGCGACACGTCCATGATGCGGATGATGCCCTAATGCGTTACGAAAAAATGCGGATGATGCACTCATACGTTACGGACATGATGTGGATGATACGCTGATGCGTTGTGATGTTGATGATGAGCTGATGCCCTGCGCACATGATGCGGACGATGCGCTGATGCGTTACGGTCATGATGCGTAGGATGAGCTGATGATGATGTCTTGAAAATAAACGCGAGTCATCGTCTTCGAGTTCATGAACTCCAAGACGATGAGTTGAGTGGCCCGAAAGGCCAAAAAAACTGTAAATCGCATGGATTTCTAGCCCTCAGCATGTTGCTTTCTGGGCAAGCCCCCCAGTTTACCCATGTTGCATCTCCCCTCTTGCTCAGAACGCAACATGATCTGACCAATGCCCAATGAGACACCCCAAATCCCGCTTGGGTATCCCCGGGTCAGTCAGTCCACTTGACTGCAAGCTGGCACAGTCCCGTTCAAGGACCATCGATTCACTCATTGCATCCACTGGAGAAGGCATGTCGACCTACATCGTCAAAAAGAGCAGCTGAGAGTCTTGCAGCGATCTAAAGGACAATACCCTTGCACACCCCACACCCGTCAGGACTGCGTCCTGCATCTCTTCTTCTGCAAGCAGTGCCTCTAAGTGATGCCGCACCTGGCCATGTCGGCCGCCCAAAACGAAGCATGGATTCTCGCGTTGTGGGTCTACATTACCCCCTGTGAGGTGGGGATTCCAAACCTGGTCTACTACATGTTTGCTATTAGTAACAAGTGCATCGCTAGTAGTAACAAGTGCCACGCTACTAGGAACAGGTGCCTTACTAGTAGTAACAATATTCAAATGCATTACATGAATGCATGGAATTCATGTCTACCACTTTAGCTCCACGAAATCCACCGGCCTTGCCAATCTCAGGCTGTGCCATTTTGCGGTCCACCACTTTGGCTGCCTGGGCGGGCCAGCTGCGAAACATGTTCGTCCGTAGAGTGCCACGGCAAAACCAGCATTGGGAGGATTGAGGATTGGGGTAGATGACCAGCTCCTCTATACTCTATTTCTTGTGGTTCGCTCTGTCAAATGGACTAACATGGTGGGAGTTGTATCAGCAAGGCAACAACATCGACAAAAGGAGCTTCACTAAAACATGTTTCACGTTGATTCACTTTGTGCAAAGCCGCAAATCTCGCATGATGGGTTGAACATCCACAGGCCTGCTGTGCAAAGCGGCGAAACTCCTGCCGACACGCCTGCGGAGGCGCTGCTGCACATGTCCAGTTTCGTGGAAAGATGTTGGTCTTACATGGGCCAAGGCGGCCAAGACATTGACCCACTTCCCCCAATCCGCCTGGTACAGTACATTACTAGCATGGGACATGAAACCAATAGGTCAACAATTCATTCCAAAGGGTCCAAGCCCGTGAACCCTACATCTTGATTGGTCCAAGCCACGTTTCTTTTAACCCTTGGTTCTTTTGATCTAAGAAAGCATCGGTGCTTCGCCAGCATCCTCCACTCGCAAAGCAGCTTCGACCTCCACCGAGCGACCTCAGCAGCTTCGGCGTCGAGGCCACCCGCCATCAGCGCAGGAAGATCGACACTGTCCTCCCTCGGATCCCTCGTGGCACCACGCGTCCCACAGCGCGTCCCGCCGCGGCCAGGCCGGCTGCGAGAGCGGCCGCCTCCTTCGGAGGAACGTGTGGGGAGAGGGGAATTTGTCGGGTAGATAGCTTTGCGTTTGAGGGGGGTCACCTTAAGAAACCTCGAAATTCCATGAAAACTGGGAAAGGCACGAAACGCTCAGGAGTTGAGATGTTGAGGCATCTAGATTGATGGAACTTTTGGAGGTGACATCTCAAAACTAGCTGAGAAACTTTGACTATTCGCCTGAAATATCTACCTGTGTAGTATTCTAACATATTCTAACTATCACATTATTAGAGCTCAGAAGATTCCAGGAGTCTCAAACTGCGCATCTAGATTGGTTGCTCTTTAATTGGAAAGTCAATCACCCTATAATAGGCTAGGTGTAATGTACTGAATCGGACAGCAGGGTGGTGAACCTGCCAGTGGAGAATCTCACTACCTGGAAAGAGCAAACTGCAGCAAGGTAGGCTCACAGTGCAAAGTAAAGGGTTCCTGCCCGAAGTCTAGCTTTCTCCAAGTGTCCAGTATGCAGATCAACATCTGACGCCTTATGACTTACTTCGGTGGAACAAACCTGGCCTTGCAAGATCCCGGTCCCTGCGCAGCGCCTGCACGAGTTTCATGACGACCATTCTTTGGTGCCCTGCCCATAACCTGAAGAAGTGGCCACGGTTCGGTTGAACTTGACCAGGCCCACGAATTGGTCGGCTTTGATCGGAGCTCTGCACCCTGCAGTCTTTGACCTTCAAAAGCCCACATCTCCAACAGTCTAGTGGCTCCAAATGGCTCTAAAGCCGCCAAGAGCATGAAGATCCTCACCCTGGTTGGTGAGGGAATCTGCTCAAACCGGTGCGTTCCAAGACCAACCCTCTATCTGTCTCCCAGCTGGCCTCACACTTTTTCCGTTGGCCCCGATCTTTGCCTCGATGTGACCCGGAATCTCGAGGGCCAGCTGACTCGCGTGACTCGGGATCTCGAGCCAACGGCGGCTACGGCAGCTGGTGAGAAACTCGACGCGGCGACGTGAGGGCGTTCGGTTCGGTCGATGGTCCGACGACGGCCAACGGTCTTCGGAACCCCCGTAGGAACGGCCTGCAGTTCCTTCTGTAGCCAGGATGGATCCGGTTCACCTCTTTGGAAGGCATCCACCAATTCCTGGCGGTTCTAGACTGCTGGGATGGTTCTTCCCTACGTGGATTGCGTGTCCTTCATCCGTGGTCCCCGCGACATGCCAGCTCCAGGCTAAGCAAATTAAATTCGGTGCTGCTCCACAAACTCATATATGTGCACAGGCTGAAAAAATCTTCTGCATAGGGACATCTCAACAAGTCTAAATGACCCCTGAATAATGAACATCCTCTGTGCGTGGGCCAGCACCTAATTACTACTCCATCAATAAGACTGTGTGCAACTGAATAGTTAAATTTTGGTTGGCTCCCAAAAAGTTTGTGCGTTTGGTCTTGATACAGGGCTATATACAGGGCTAGATCCCGGTTCATCCTTCTCCGAAGGACCTGGAAGTGGTCGAAGCAACATTTCACCTCAGCACGGCGTGTCATTGGCCAGCCATGCTGCATGGGCTTGGGGACTGTGGGGATCACCGATTCTGTTCCATGTCTCTCCATTTAATTGACCAGTTGTAGCCCACTTAGAGCCATAGCTCATAGCTCTCGTGCCACTCCCGCCCTCACAACTTGGAAGCCTTTACGCTTCCACATGAAGACGACCCCCACTTGCAGATCTATGAGGGGATGCATCCTCATCTTCCATCCATCCCTTCGCAGGAAAAAGCTGGGTGGCCATGCATAGCCTGTCGAGAGCTTCGTGTCGAAGATCGTTTCGTTCATGCCAGAAACCAGATTCCAGCCTCCGGTTTTCGGGTGGAGCCTCGTTTGACTGGGACGGGGAGCTCCAGAGGCAAACTGAGCAAAAGGCCACGCATGCCAAGTATTTTAGATAGAAACATCTTGCCTGAGCATGTCCTATCAATCCAAAACCATTCCAGGCAAATGAATGAATCTACCCTCATAACTGGATGTTGAGACGCACAAGCACCAGAACTGACACAGCACTTCAGTCGAAATCCAATTCACCTCAGCAGCATCTGCAGGTTGTTCCTTTGACACCGTGACTCCAAACACTGGGTGTTTCTACACCGCTCCTAAGGTTTGGACAGAAGTTCTCTGGAGCTTCATAGGCGAGGCAGCAGCTTTCCTGTAGTGTGGCACCGAGGGTCAGGTGTTGGAAGCATCATTAGGATTGCTCTGAATGTGTCCAATGATCATGGCGTGCAAACAAACGCTGGAAATCGATGGTAAATCCTGGGGTCCCAAATATCCTTTCCAAACCCTATACACTTAATGTGAGGTGGGAGGGATAACTGGTTTGAGGGAGAACCAGAGCAACAGTTCAAGGACTCACCGGTGTGACAAACATTGCTATTGTATAAGCGGAAGAGATGAAACGAGTGTCACGCAAGGAAAGCAGGTTTCAATTCTGTGCTTGTTGCCCTCCCGCAACATGGTCCACGTCCATAAGACTAAAACCTTTCAATATCAGCCGCAGACCTCATGGATGAACTCGCTCTGCGCCATCAAGTTGGCCTGCTCCTCTTGTCCCTCGCAGTCTTGCCGAGACCCCAAAATGTGTACTGGAAGAACTACGCTACAAACTTGCGATGGCCTCGACATTCTGACCGACCGCAGCCTTCTCATCAAGATCTCAAGAGCGACCTATGTACAGATCAAACCTCTGTGCCACCATCCTCACTGCTGGTCTGCTGTTCATGCGAAAGGGGCCTAAAGCAATTGATGACAGTTTGATGAACATCCACTTTTGCCAGAGTAAGTTCCTTTTCATCGTCCAATGACAATCAGCAACAAGTGCTTCACTCGTGTTGAGAACACTCATCCATGGCAAGTTTCATCCATTTCGTCCCACTGGCTCGGCCTCGGGAGGTCCATAGAGGTAGAGGTTCTCCTGGAAAAAATGGCCAACTGCAGACCATCCTCAAGGAGAACCTGAGGTTTGCACCCTGTAGCTTCTCCTGAGGTTTTGCTCCCAAACTCGGCTCGCCCTCAACCCCCTCTCCGGTGGGTTCGACACTGATCTCCTATGGGCTCCATCGGTCCCCACTGAAGATTCTCTCGCCTTTGCTATTCGTCTTTAATTGGGGCAGCAAAGAAGCGATTCTCGCATCCATTTTGCGGCTAGCTTTTCCATAGTCATGACAGGACCAGAGCAGGACCGGAGCCGATGAAGCCGGACGGAGCCCACCAACCAGCACTTCGGAACCTGTCTTTTGGCAAAATGGACGCTCGCGTCGCCCGTTGTTTCGATGCCTCGGAACCAACAACTCTGTTCACCTCGCGGAACTGCGGGGAGAACTTTCTGTCCGGACGTGCCTGAGCCTTGTAGCACCAGCCCACCCAATCACCTGGGACGAAAGGCTTTGGAGCCTTTGAGGGCTTGGATTTTCATGATGCAAATTGGGCTTGATGAGGAACCTGTCGCCTTTTCTCCTAATTACTAGGTGGAGCTCAAATCCGTACCTTGAAGTGTCACGCCTGACATTCACTACATACCGAAAAGCAGCAGAGATTGGTTTCGCCTGGCGAAACCTTTCCATTCCCTTTGGAAGATATGAAGAGGCCACTGGGAAACCATACGGCTCGAACGTGCCAAAAAAGTGGAAGATACTTGCAAAAATCGCAAATCCCATGGCCGTCCCCTCCATCTCAACCACCTCGTCGACTCCAACCACCTCGTCCCGACCAGGCCACCTCACAGGCTGTGACCTTGCTGCGGCTCTTCCAGTCGGGCAGGCAGCACAGCTGAACGGCGGAGGTTGCGCAACCGCAACGGCGGAGAACGTGTTCGGAGAAACGCTGGGTCCGTGGTCTGCTTCGGAGAATCGGAGCCACTTGTCGGAGCATGAGATGTTTAGATTATAAACCACTCAACCCCGGAAACCAGATGGAACAGAACCCCCAAAAACGATCACCGCGATCAGGCCCAAAGGAACGCACCATGTGACCTCTCCCGTCCGACCTCAAAGGAGAAGACACCACTCAAACACTCCCTGGGCCGTGCAGCGCGCGTTTTGCCCCATCATCTACGGGTCAAATGGGTCAAAGACGGTGGGACGGCACCCGCTCTGAACAGGGAGCGAACCAAGTGGTCCAGGCTTCGCTGAAATCACCGAGCACTTGAGGTCTCAATGTGTATCTTTGGGAAGACGACATGGCGGACCTGCAAGAAGAGAATGTGTTCGTCCGCACACAATCGGAAGCGAATCGCAGCGATTCACGAGAACTCGGGCCAATCCATGGGTGGTTGGAGGGTTTGGGGTACCGAAGAGACATCAGGGGGAGCTTCGACGGAGCCGACCGGGACGGTCGAGTCGAGTCGAAAGACTATCTGCGGACGGACAGCGTTCTCGCACGATCATCGCTTGGAGGATCTTCATCCAGGCTAGTCATCAACCCTGCCAGCGACTGTTTTTGTAAAGGAGTACCCGAGCTGGGCGCCCTTCGTCCGTCATCATGGACCCTCTTTCGCACAGGTGGTGTACCGAATTTGAGAGGCTGGGCAAATGGTCTGAAGCCACCAAGGAAACACATCCGGTCTCATGTAACAACCATGCTGTAGCCTCTTCATCGAAACTGCTGTTCATCCGTGCTGTTCTCCATCCAAGGCACGGGTTTCCCCAGGGTCCATAGGTCTCCTGTCGAACATCCAATGCTCCAGGCCGCGGCGAAAAGGACGACTTTCAGGCCAGGCTAATCCGCCAAACGTGATGTGACTGTTATTTTTGATGGACGGTATGTCTTCTTCAACATCAAAGCATCCAAAATGGACTGGAAAATCAGAAAGTGCTTTCTTCATGATGGATCTGAAAGGGTCAGTGCTCGAACTCTGCACATACGTTCATGAATGGAGCTTCCTGTGGATTGTCTTCAGACCCTTTGGGCGTTGAAGAAGAAACCGAGCGATGTACCCGGCTGCGACTGTGGGGTCCATCCGGGCCGGCGACACCATGACCGTCCTGGTCACAGCACTTCTCAAAGGTAATCCCCTGCTGCTCATCGAAGCCTAGAACTGTGGACGCCAGCACCGTGGTCAGTCATGGCATGCTAGGATGACCAGCACCGTGGTCAGTCCATGTGCTGGCCAAAACGTTTTGGGGGGTTAGGGTTCAGGTTAGGCTTTCAATCCTGGGTGACTCGCTCAGGATGAGTCGCGAACCTCAGCTGCATGTGAAAGGCGGAGGGTTCAACCAGAAACCGCAGGAAGCTGTCACCATGTTGCAAGATGATGGCTCTTTGACCCCTACCAACCATGGGAGCGTAAATGGATCAGAAAGCCAAAACGGGTGCAACAACCACTCCCGTCTTTTGCTGCTTCCTTCACTCTCGAATAAAGTTGTCCACCAAAAGTTGGATTCTCAAAAGTGGGCAGGATCAACGAGTGCCCGGCTTGAGTTTGTTCTCAAGGCCACAACACATTCGCTCAAACGCTGTCCGTCCACGAGCTACCTGAAGCTCATTTCTCCTAAAGAAGTGGGTGTCTCATAAACTAGGCTAATCATCGAGACGAAATTGCTGCGCACGAAGTGCTTAGTACGACGACAACAAGCATGCGACTCCAAGAGGCCGGACCTGGTGGAAACCCGTCCGAATCCACCGTAACAAACACAAGACTTCTCTTATCAAGGCCATCGCCACCCCCCTCGAATGACCCAAGCGAGTGACGGTCCAGGAAGCTCGAGAACGGACCAATCCTCGTAACAAAAGACATCCAACACAATATCACCCGTAATATGTTCTTCACCCCTCATATGTTCATAACTGTTCGGGTCTAGATCGTCACAAGAAACATGAAACTAGCCACCATCTACTAGCCACGTGCATAGAAGAAGAAACACAATTGAATTTGAACCAGCATGTTCCATAATAATACATGAATCTACAGTATTTAAAGGAACTCCATAATTTTACAGTATCAGTTTATGGATGGTTTGGAGTGTTTTTCGCTCCGCTACGACTCACAGCAGCGAGAATCGGTCTTTCTTCGCTGTTGAGCAGCAAATGCTGCATCCCAAGCGCGCAAGGTCCAATGGAGGCCAGTCCTTTCGTCACCAGGGGCTCAGTAGGGCTGGCTCCCCTCCCAACATAGCCACAGTTGACACTAAGGATTTTCTCCTCTTGAAGGTGCGACATGTGTTTGGGTTGGGGGGGAACTGGATGTGGCGCACCGATCTGTTGCATGAACACTGGTCCACTGGTCCACTCACAGTCGGACTAGACAAATCTGAAACATGCACAGTAAGATCCAAGTAGATGAAGAAGAAACGATTCAAAGTCTTGGAATCCCTCAAATCTTCACCATTTGGACCAGAACATCTTCTGTCGAACGTTGTCACACCATCATCACACCATGAACTTTCCAAATCAATTCTGCTCTCTTCCGCTTCCTGCCCTGCCCTCCACTGCCCTCCCGCTCCTCTGCCAGGCCAATAGCCGGACCTGTTTCAAAATCGAAGAGATAACTGCTCAAGACCCAGCACTGTCCAAGAAACTTCAACCAAAGGAACATGGACACCTTTCCATTCTCTTGCTATGCGTATATGCGAAAGGGGCCCTCAGTAAAGGGGCGAATAGAGCGTACTCACAGGCAACTTCACCTACGACCTGAAGCCCTGCCTGACATTGTGCGTCAGCATCATGGGCGCCAGCTCCATGGGTTGAAGCGAACCAACAGGTGACCAGGCCATACCAGGCCCCAGCCATACGTAGCTGTGGCTGGTAGACTTGCTTCTTTTCTGGTGCTGACTAGGATGAAATGCTCTTCTCATCACCGAAGTTGGCCTCATCATGGCTACAGGAAAAGGAAATGAGAGCTGAACATATGGAAGTACTTGAAATCAATAGTGTGACATGCCTCCATGTGCAGAGTACCTTATCCTTTGCAACTATCTCACCGTAGTTTAACGTTTCCTGATAACATCATGCCAAGCTTTGAGCCAGAAGAAGCATCAACTGCCCCAATGCGAAGCAACTAAGGAGCTCTCTGCCCCCAAGAAAGGAGGAAAGCAACGTCTTCAATCATGTTTTCTGTGGCTGAAACTAGAGTCAGAGCTTTGGAATGCTGACTTAGTCCACCGTCCAGGATGTGGAGGATTCCATTCCAGCTTTAAACGCCGCAGGAGAAGGCCCTTACAACGATTCCAGCCACATGGGCAGCTTCCGGGGGAACTGAAGTGACTCCGAGGAAGAAATGGATTCTTGGAGAAGACGCGCCTACGGAACCTTGCAAAGCCAGAAAATATGATATGACAATTATGGCCGCGCCAAATGCGACAACGATGACGTACAGTGACATAATTATTTACGCAAGATGCGAAGCACCGTCACGACCCTACAGACTCTCCCCATCGCATCACGCAACACACGGCCAAGGCCACAGGCTGGGGGAGCACCTTGTCTCTCTCATGGAGCTCGTCCATGACCAAGTGAGTCACCTCCCGAGGACAGAAGGCGTGCTGAAAGCTGCAATATGAGATTGAACTGGTGTCAAGCGCAGGCAAAATCTTCTTGCTTCTGAGAATCTGCTTCCCTTTCTCTCTTAACTTTCAAATGTTGTAATTGTTTTTCATGTGTCACATCCAGAAGGCCCTTGGCATCGTGTACATCAGCAATACAAAACAAAGAAGATCACATCACCAGAACCAGCATCACCAGCACCAGTGGACAAGCTGTGGACAAGCTATCTCTGCCAGATGTATATGTTGCAAGGTTCGGTCGTGAGTTTGGAACCCGCCCGCGAAATCCGCGAAATCCCCCGCCTTCGTCAGCTCCGGGTCTTCCAGCACTCGGCGCCGGAAGACGCCCGCCGTGCAGAAGTGCAGCCGCGTCCGGGCCGAGCCTTGGAGACATCTGAGACGAGTTCGGCGGCGGACGACGGGACGAGCTTCGTGGAGGTCACCGTCACCCAGTTCGGGCGCGGGGCTTCTTGTTTTTCTTCGGCTGGATGCCGTCATGCGTGCGTGTTTTCACATAAAAACACATGAAATACATCACAGGGAACGATGAAATTGGAGTAGATCTCTGTCTAGAGATCTGGATTTGCAGTGCACTTTTTGAATAAACCTGTTATTGAGGCCTGCAAGCCTATGTTTGCAGGGTCGTGCTGGCACATATTTTCATCTACTCATCCGGGAACTTGAACTACTCCCTTTTTGCCTACTTGCACTTGCTTATTATGTAACTTACTATGTATTCTATTCTGTTGCTTGTGTCTGTGAAACTCCGCATTTGGATGCTGAACATTGCCAAGAAGATCCATGTAACTTGCTCTGTGGCGACAGGCTGTTCTGCTGAACAGGCATCTTCCAGCTGTCCAGCCTCTAGCGCAGTTGCCCACTCGATTTCCCAGACAAGTCTGACCCAGGTCCACCCTGGTCCCAGTCAAACCTCATTGACCAACTCAAGCATTTCATCAGCGCCCGTCCCTGAACAGCTCAGGCTATCCAGTCCAAGCGCCCTCCCCTTCCCCGGTCGCTTCGGCGCGGCGCCATCACGCGCTTACGCCGAAGCGGCGTTGATGCTCCAAGTGAACGGAATAGCCTACCTCTGTGGAATTGAAGCGTTGAAGGGCCATTGATGGGTACCAAAGTTGTCTGACTTGGGGCAGGTCTGAGGGGTGCTTCAATCTATCCCAAAATCAGCAGAACAATCCTCCCAACAATGTGCATCCAAAGCCCAAAGTTGAAGCGGGTGCATTGTATCAAAGCAAGTTTATGCTTCCTCTGAGCACACATGATCCGACACCTGGTTTTGTGTCCGACATCCAATCAAGGATCATCCCCTGAGAGGCATTGGAGTGAGCACGTTGGCCGCCTACAATTTGATACCAAGTGTCTTGGCCAAGCAAGCCAACGAGATATTTGAAGGCGGGCCTCGTGGTTGAGATGAGGTGAATCAACCTCCAGTAGCCCACAGTGCCACGTCACATTTGAGACCACTGTCATCAGTTCGAAACGGGTGCGAAAGCCGCTGGCTTTCACGGTGTTCGGCGACATGCTTGTGGTTGCCAAGCGGCCACATCTCCCACTGTCTCCCCTCGCTCCTGGGGAAATCGGTAGCGACCCGTCGACCGCCCGCAAGAAGCGCAGAAGATGTTGCAGTTGAAGTTGAAGGGCAGATATTCAGAACTGTTCTTCATGTATTAGGCCACTATGCTCGGTGGAGGCCATCGCTACGAACTTAACAAGAAGCTACTAGTCATGTTAGGGCAAAGATTCAGAACTGTTCAAGAACGGCTGCTGAGTTCAGAACTTCGAGGTGCCATGTTTGGATGCCTAGATTGCAGAATTCTCGCTCAAAAAAAGCCACCCAAAAAGCTCGGCCAGTCTTGGGATCGCAGTGGATGCAATTGAAGTGAACCGGATCATTATATATATATAATAAGACGTTGCTGCATGAGTCATGGCTCAACAGCAACCCAACCAGAGGATGCAAAGGGTCCCGTATACGCCTTCGCCTTCGCCGGTCACATTGGTCACATGATAGCGGAAAATGTCGTTGGAACAAGCTGAGATCAATCAAACCAAGTAATCCTTGTTACTAGTAGCTTCTTGTTGCTAGTAGTAATGCCAGGAGCTACTAGCAGCGTCCTTAGCAGCGTCCTTGTTACTAGTAGCGATGCACCTTGTTACTAGTAGAATTCTATAGCTGTTTGATCTCAGTTGATTTATCAACCGGTGTACAATATTCCAGCTATAAGCTGATAGATTCTATACCCTTTTTTAGCTGGTGATGTATTCACGCTAATCCATGTCAGTCACAAATCGCTGGACATCTCCTGTGCAACCCGATGAGCCAAGGACAAGGCCTCAGCTTTCGATCGAATGTGAAAATCCTCCGAGTCTGAAGAAATCGTCGCTGTTCACCACCATGCGCTTGCCTGGAGTCCAGAGGTGCCCTATCATCCTATCCCTAGATGCTGTATCTCACCCTCTTCGCTGGCTCTTTGGGGAGTATGATGGGTTCAGCCCTCACTTCTTGATTCCACAACGTCAAAGGTCTCATACACTTAGAGCCATGGGCCATTTCCCCAAACCAGCCATCTTTGCGAACCCAAAGGGTTTGACGAGTATCCATTGAAAACTTAACATGCTCTCGAAAACAAATGATTCAAAAAATTCTTGGTGATAAAAATGTCCTGCCCGGTTACTTCTGACACCGCGGGTACCTGAGTCAACCAACCGCGATGAGAAGCTGAGGCGTGTAACTTTTGACCTGCAACTGTGTGCTGCGGCGGCTAAGAAGCACGCCAATGAAATCCTTCCAAACCTGTTCAAGCTGGTTAAAGACTTCTTCGCGTACTCTCATGGGCTCGGCCCAGCCACTGCTCAGGCAACAAGACGATCCACCTGCGCTTCATTTGCCAGTGCGCTTCATTGCAAACGGTGATTGGGAAGGCCATTCAAGTAAGATGAACTTGTTTGGGTCGCAAGACTGCAAGATGTCCTCATCTAAACGCCTCTCCTCAAGAAGCTCCACAAATCCTTTGCGCACAGGAAGCTCTCAGCTTGAACGAAAAGCACTCCATGCTCTCAGATCAGATTTGAGCTGATCCACTGGTGGATCTTCGAGGAACCTATATAGAGATTTCTCGACATTACAACTCTTCTGCCAAGGCTTGGAGAGATGACTTGTGAGAGTTTGTTGCTCCACGGCCACCATAACGTACGCCTAGAAAGGACTGGATCGTTGGAGGAGCTGTGTGTGTGTGTGTCAAATGACCGGCCCAATCGAAAGAGGAAATATCAGCAAACCATACTCTACATCTCTTTTCTAGCTAGCTTTGTGATTCAGCTTGTGAGCGGACGAAAGTGTGCCCAAACGAAAAAATCATCTTCAGGACGATAAACCGCCATCAGCATGATTGACTTTCGTGTTCCACCAAGCAAGTGGCCGAAATTCTTCGCGGCTGCGTCACCACAATGTTTGCACCTGGCAACGCCTGACTGAAGCGGACCGTGAAGGCTATGTCGTCGGGTTCGGCTGTGTCAACGGCGGGGCGGGGGGAGCAGGTGTTTCAGAAAAGTCGCTCGCAAGTCCTTCTTCATGGAGGTGTATTGGAGGTGTATTGTTTGCTTCGATGCAATTCGTGCAACTCAGATCAGCAATGCACCTCCGTCGCTACGTGCTCTGAAACCCATCCCACAAATGCGAAAGCAAACACCTCCGCCGGAACGCCTCCAGAAGGAATTGTGGCACCTGCGTGGACTTGCCGCAGCCCGTCTCGCCAATGACCAATGTCACCTGCCACGGAAAGGGCACTACGACGAGGGTGCTCAGACGGGGCGTTATTTTTCGAGCGGGAAGCGAAAAGGTGCAGCGTCTCCAAAGGCTAAACCCATCGAAACGGATCGAAATGTTGTTGCTTTGGCAATTCATCCAGAAGACCCTCCTGCTCATTTCAGGAGTGTCGAAATGGGAAAAGGAGGATCCCAGAAGAACATTGACTGAGGCCCGAGGCGATTTTTCTGCATGACTTTCTGGAGGAAACCATCCAAATTCAACTCCTCGATCGCACCCCAAAGTCTGAGCCCCGCAAAAAGCACGGACCACAGATCCACCATGGACCATCGCCCAGTTCACTATCCTGGCGTTTCAAACCCAAAAAGCGTTGAACGAACGAAGACCTTCTGCCCGTGTCCAAAGGGTCGGATGACCGCCCGTCGTCGTTGGGTCATACGCGGTGTGCGGTCGTTCTGCGCCGAAAACGACCCAATGTTCTCTGTGCCTCAAAGGACAAAGAAAATGGAGAAAGGGTGTGCTTTTCCGTTTTGTTCCATGCTCCAAAAGTGACCCAGGTCCTTGGAAGTAATCAAACGTTTGGATCCAGACGAACGCATTATCAAACCTTTACAAACCACTACACACTTGATCAAAGCCTCTTCAGCCTGATCACGGTTTATCCTTTTTTCTGCTGGGTCAACAGTGTTTCCAGGCGCCTGCGACTGCTGGACCGCCTGCAAGATCTTCTCCCGGCACTGCCATGCCGGTAAGGCCTGCCTGGGCGTCCGGGGCTCGAGGCTGACTCACGGGTTTTCTACACCACCTCACACCCCGCAAAAGCCTTTCCTTGAAAGGTGCAGTGTGGCAACAACCACACATGCGGATGCGTTTTTTTCACGGATGTATGGGCTGGACAGTGTTTGTCTTCCAATGCCATTGATTGACAATGAATTAATGGGTTAACTATGATGCTCCCCGGGGCACTTCTGCGTATATGTCCTTCTCTCAGTAAAGTAAAACGGCACAAAGCACAGGGTCCAAAAATTGGCAAAGTTGCTGCAAAAACACGTTGCAGGGGGAGGAAACACTACAAGTCTCTGTCTCTTTTCTATCTTGTTTTCTGCTTTCCAACAACGATGAAACATGAAAGGCTACAACTTTGCTCGATCTTGAGCGGCTTGACCTTCGGGTAAACTTCGCTCTCGCTAAAAGGGCGTTCAACGGTTACAACGAGGAAAGGACGCGAGAGCGAAACTCCCAAGTTTGACGACAGCGAAAAGTTTGAACAAGAACCATAGGCCAATTAGGCCAATCGGAGTGAATAGGAGGACTTTCGGAAGCTAAATTGAGAAGGGCCAAGGGACTCCAGGCCAGTCTTTGGTGGAAAGCTCTAGAGAGGCTTCAGTGAAATGCTGGTACTGCGTGATGGGTTCAATCGTATCAAAACTATATCATTTATCGCATGGGCCAAAGACAAACATGATTGCACTTTGACAGCTTTTCGGAGATTCGGAGTACTTTGGGTCCATGCCCGGTTATTCTATGTCGAATGAGTTCTTACGCAACCCTCAACACGAAACGCAAGCACCCTTTTCCGCCTTGAATCTCAAGTCCAGCAAGGCACGCACACTTGATTGAAGGTAGCGGAGCAAGGTGACACAGTACTTGCCTTGGCAGCCTGGCACTGCTTAGAATACACCGTTACACCTCTGTGTCCTTCTGAAATGGTCACGAAAAGCTGCAGGAAAGATTCGCCCAAATCGATGCGAGTAGAACTCGCCGAAGCACGACCGTTCGCTCGCTCGTGTTGGCAGGTTCCGTTCGCACGGCCGACTCGTTCGCAGCTCCTTCAGCCCCTGCAGAGCAGAGCCCCAGGTGCCAGGAGTTCCAGTTGCGTTTCCTTATCCAACCACCACGCAGCACGTGCGGTATGACACCGGTGGTGGATGACGCTCACGAACAGGTCATAAGTTCAGCGATGAGCGCGGGCTTAGTAACATCGCGATGTACCTATAAAGGTGTATCATACACCATCTGCTGAAGGCGACACGACACGTCTGACTTGGATCTGTTTGGTCTACAAGTCCTTTGCTCAACTCTCACAATGCACAGATGTTGTTCATCTCATGGTCATGCTTTGGCATTGTCCGGCAAAACCTTCTACTTGGCCAAGGAGACTCTTTCAGCCGGTGACCCCATCCAGCTACTCACCACAGTCCGTCCGAGTTGGCTGAGGTCGCTGCTTTTGAAAACGACAGCGGGAAAAGGTCGCTGTTTTTGAGTTCCGTAGTGGCTAGTCTTTTCGGATTGCTACTAAACTGCACCAATCAACCAACTGCGGAAAAAACCGCTCTGACGACACGGAAGAACCGCTTCGCCCGCGTTTTGTCCCCGCGGACCGCGTTTTCTCCAGGTCCCCCGACCGGATTTGGAGTAACTCTGTGGGTGGAGGACCTAGGGGAGGGCCACCAGGCTCGGGTCCACGAGGCTCACCAGGCCTCGGGGCAGCGCCGCCGGGCTCTGGGCATCACGGATTCAGCAAGTGCTCTTCATGATGTCCTTCTTGTGCGTCCCTCGTGTTCTGATGACCAACATGGACCTGAGAATGGAATACTCCAAGACCATGTCCACTACAAAGGAGTGCTTGTGGCTTCATCCTAGTCTCCATTGGAATATATTGGAATTGGGGATCAGAAAACTCCGTTTCGGAACGGACCGGGGGGGAACTCCAAAGCTCAACGGTCTGAAAGCAACGGTTCGCTCGCCGAGACGATGGGAAGGTTCCGGCTCCGACTTGAACCTTGACTCGGCTCCAAGCCGAAATCCGTCGTGTCCCTCCAAGCTTCGAAACAAAACAAAACACCCACAATGCGGTATCACGGATGCATCCTACGTGTCGGCCCAACGACGCCCACGTCGCGTCGCGCGATTGGTCGAGTGGCCCCGAAGCGCCACTGCTCTCGAGCAGCCGGTCAATGGAGCGTGGCGAGACCTGACGAGAATGGCTCCACTGGCCGGGCATTGGTGATGGGAGAAAAAATCACGGTGAGCGACGGCCATGCAGTTCACCTGGTCGAAAATCCCACACCTACGGCCAGTACTGAGTACTGGTTGGAATCCCCTATGGCTCATGCAGCCTCATGCGATGCGCTCTTCATCTTTCTAAGGGCAATCTGTGAATTCGATGGATGGATCAAGAGGCCCTCAAAGGCAGAAGTTGTTGTGGGCATCCAACAACTGGGCTATTGGCGAACGCATGATGGCAGATACAAGCTTGGCGACCACTTCGAATTCATTCACGCTAACAATGCCACCTCCCCAGCTTTGGGCGCAGTGTTTAATTCTTGGCGGTGGATTCGTTGTGGCACACCCATCACTCTCCAGATGACCATTCTCGCCTCCACGCATTCAGTTGGTCCTTTCAATCAGACCAAAGACGCCCGGAAGCCCCAAAGCCCCACGACTCTCTGCTCTCCCGACGGCCACCAAGGGCGCCGAGGCGGCCGCCACCTGGGTCGGCGCAAATACCGTCCGAGGCGCGGTGGACGGTGTGAGCGAGATTTGGTCCTGGGTGTGTCCTAAAAATGAGGGAGACCTCCCAGGCAACGACCCCCTGGAAGAAGGGAAATAGACCCAAGAACCCATGGGTTTGGGGTATCTAAAATACAAGCCCATGTTCTTCCAGTGCCCCAGGCCTCGACCTCTCCAAAGAGGGCTCAAAGTGAAGAACAGCGCACAGGATCGACCGGACAGCCACGGTTCCGGTTCACCTTCGGGGACGGCACCAGTCAGGATTCAACAGAGGTTGAAGGCTGCTTGCTGTAACCCAGTCAGTCTTGGCACTAGTTCTTACCGCATCGTTTGCTCAAAGAGGAAATGACATGACCAGATTCAGAGAACCTTCCAACTTCTCGCTCGCGAGAGCCTGTCCTGTCCAAAGATCAGCCTCCAAACCCCCACATGCCTCTGTGTTATCGCCTTCGGCCGCGTGCTCGACCAGGGGATGTTCGAGAGTCTCCAACCTCGCGTTGTTAAAGAACGGACGCAACATATTGCACCACCGATGGTTAGCAGTTGGGCGTAAGACGAAAAAGCAACAGAGCTTTCTTTGGCCCTGTCACCTCATTTCTGCCAGCCAGAACGGCCTACGAAAGGTTGAACCAAAGAGCCTCATACTTCACAAAGCTAAACCAACAGACATTGAACAAAGCTAAACTCTACCAACTGTCCATCCAACATGTCAGATTAGATAGAAAAAGTCTCGAACGTGTCAGCTGGTGAGGCCCCCGGACGCCGCCCGCGGCCAGGACAGCCGAGGGACCTCCTAGCGCCAGCTTGCCACGAGGAGAGAGAACCAAAGCGCTCTGCACCGCCGGGGCCCCAAACGGCAGTAGCAGAGCAGCCCAAAAAAGACAAAGACATCGAAACGACTTTTGGGGAGCCTGCTTTTTGGGCGTTTGAATGAGCTTCGGAGGGTGGCGGGGTGGCGGGTACTAGAGTGGTATTGCTCAAATCTAGGCCACCTACAAACCGGCCTATGTTCTCCCAGGCTGTTTATCTCCGGAGGATGGCTACAGTGCAAGCCTTCTGTTTCTAATTTACCTCTGCTTGGATGAAAAAGGAACACATCATGTGACACCATCATGAACTTCTCAGTTTTTAATGTTCTAATTATTTATATATCTGCAACCTGCATCAAACCCCACAGTCATGACAAGAAATAAGTGGATTTCCTGTTCCCTATTGGCCAGACTATATAGGCCGATGCATTCAAGTCACTTCAGAACGACATGGTGGGAACTACACTGTTCGTGGAACTTGGGCGCATCCCAAGCCCTGTCTGTTACCCCGTCCTCTAAACCACCTCAGGTAGAAGCTCGCGGAGCTCGGTGGTTCTAAGACACCAAAGCAACTTGGCTGTGTCGGGAGTGCCAAGCGTTGAAGTGTCCGGGACCGTTGATCAATCCAACATCTGAACATCCTCATAGCTTGGAAATGTCTCATCATAAGCAAAGCTCTGTTGGAGATCGCTCTGGATGTTTTTTGGGCTTCCGTCCTTGCAACTGCGGTAACTTGAGAATGTTCCTTAGCTCCTTCACTTCTTCGCTCGGTCCAAGTGGCCAAGAGTTTTGCAGATCCGGTCAGGGATCAAGAGGTTTTAACCATGTTAAACATAGGAAGGCTTAAAAACAAAAAAAACGACTACGCTGGGACCTCCCTTTCTTATGCCACAGATGGCCACCGTAACCCGCTGTAGGTCGCACCGGGCAACCTGCGGTCCAGAGTCGAAGGAAAGACCAGCTGCACAAACACCTTCCACTGAACTCGTGGGAACAAGTTGGAAGAAAAAGGGGGTTCTCAGTTGCTCGACCTTCTTTCCCACCAAAAACCTCACATCGGTCTCCCTTCGGGAAGAAAACCTGTCCCGACCCATCCCTGTCGCCCTTGCGCAGCTCGGCGGGCCCCACACAAGTTGCGCCGCGCGGCCTCTCCGGCCGGCAGGCCGATCGGATGGATCGGCGAAATCCGAAGTTTCAAAGGTTCAGTTTGAGGGCTCGGTTGTCCCTTTGGCATTTTTGGCATCTCCTCGACATTTTGGGAGGTATCCCTTTGGTGTTTTGGAAAGGTTTACTTCCATATCTGGGATCAAGGTGAAGGGACCTGGGGGGTGGTTATGGTCTGTGTATATATATATAGAGAGAGAGAGAGATCCGTGTTCGAAATGCGTGTGGAAAGTCCAAGGTTTCAGTCAGGTTTCTACCCACTACAAGGGGTCAGGATGATTTGGGTGATTTCTACTTTTCTGTTTGGAGTGCTTCGACCCCCCAAATCACCCAATCAAGTGCAGCAAGCTTAAGTGTGCCTGACGTGTCCCAATTGGATGGGCCTTTCCGTTTTGGGATCGCCACAGTACCCCGGCACAAAGGAACCACAACAACGAAGCAGAATTGGAGTCTATATAACTGTAGTTATTCGGGAAGCAGAAAAATGACCGTAGACAACACCGCAACTTGGCATTCGATTGTGGCGAATTGCACATGTCCATCCCATTTTTCATCGAGCGCTTCATCTCAAGTGGTACAATCCGACCACTTTTCCCAAGTTCCCCACCCCAGAGACGGCACTGACTCCCGCACCTTTCCAGGGTCTTTGCTCACCGAGATGAACCGCGCATCGCCACGGCCCTTGGACCTCCCAGAACCGCGCCACGCGCGGTTCTTGGCAGGTGGATCCACCGAAAGGGTTCGTTCCGTTCGTTCATGCGTGGCATCCAAAACACGATGCCAAACATGGCCAAACAGTGAAAGTCTGATTTTTGGATCTCATAAAAAGGTTGGAATGCGTGCGATCATCGGCACCTCAAGGTGGACTCTTGGCTTCAAAACCTTCCGAGATTCTTTTGACTTGACTGTGTAGCCCCAAGTGCGGTCAAAGGGCATCGTTGGGCAACTAGAACCCTCCTGTAATCGCCAGAAAAAACAAAAAATCAAGTGGAAATAGTTGATTTTGTGCCTGTGTCACATGGTGTATGTGTTTCTCTTCGGCGGCCTTTCACCCCCACTCCATGCCCTCCCAAAACTCTCCGCCCGCACGTCCGACTCCCTCCCTCCACGCAAGGGTTTTAACCAAAGAAACCTCCCACATCACACTCCGAGGTGCTCATGTTTGAGGCCAAACTGCTCCGCCAGGTGGTGCACATACTTCCGTTCCTCCGCCGACCTCGCGGCGGCAAAAAGAGGACGGCGGCCGGGCGGACGAACCAAGGTCAGAGATGCAGAGAAGGTGTATAGTGGTCCCCAAATAGATAGAAACGGTGTCCAATACATTTTTCGGGGGCCTATTTATATATCTATGTTATATTGATAGTTTCGGACTCTCCGGCATCTCTTCCGAGTGTGTCCTGGAATGATTCGTGAAGACTGGGAACGTTGAGTTGGATTCTTTGGGCAGTTTGTTCACAGTGCAAACGCACCATGGCCAAAAGGGTCCGATAGAACATCACCAGCCTGAAGGCATTCAGGCTTGGAACAGGCATGTGCTGTCCAATCGAAAGTGTCCACGGCTCCCCATCAGACTTCTATCTGAGGCCGCAGCAAACAGCTTGGGAAGGCCACAGAAGCCTTAGCGTCTCACGATGTAATGACCTTCGATGGGTATCATGCTATGATTATGACCAACAAGGATTTGCCGACGGCGTTGGGGGAAGTTCCAAGCCTTCCGAGTTCATTCGTGTTACTTGCGTGACCTTGCTTTCGGGGGCCCTTGGGCGTCCCCGTCCACAGTCTGTGGAACCACGCATTTGGAATGTGCAAGCCTGGTGGCCACATTAAACCAACCGAATTGAATTCACCTCTGTAAGAACGCGAAGGCGCTGAACCACACAGACATGAGATGATCCAGCCAAGGTGGTCTTCCCATCCTAAAAACTCCATGTAATGGAAGATTTACCGACGAGTGGCCTCAAAGGGGTCTTTCTGGGGCGGTCAGTACTCCAGTCCCAGAAAGGTCGTGTCTGGGCTTCCATTCCAAGAAGGAATCGCACAAAGTCCTTGCTGTCGCCGTTGTCCTCCTTCCCAACTTCTCTCTTGGCAAAACTTCATTAATGGCCCTCTGCACTGCCGCAAATTACTTTCCAACCTCAAAATGATCTCTTCATGGACTCCCTGAATATTGGCCATGCTGCCATGCTTTCTTGATTCCTGCTCGAGAGCTTGAACTTATATACTTGCTCCGGAAGCTGCTCTGGAACTTGCTCCGGACCCGAACTTGCTCTGAAACCTGCTAACCTACTGCAGTACGTGCTCCGATCTGCTTCAAAGTCTTTACTATGGCTGAAACCCTAAGCTTCGCGGTCAGTGAAAAAGGCCCAATCCTCCAGTCCCTATACCAGTGCCGTTTGTTCCCCCACCTCCGTCAGAGCGACCCGAGAGGGCCGCGAGAGCGACCCGAGAGGGTCAAGACCGCCACAGGTGTGTCGAGACGGGGTCATCATGCTCTGCAGTAAAGAATGCCACTGCCGCCAATGCCGCCAGTGCCCAGCACGTTGAATCTGAAGGTCTCTTCTGTTGGCTGTGCATCAACCTGTAGGAAGTGCTGCGCTACGAAACCCTTGCGGCTAGTAGGAAGAACCTGCATGCGTCGTCGTTGGCCATGGGCCATGGCCAATGGCCATGAGTGCATATGAGTGCGACATTATGACACATCGCCGAATCGCAGCTGATCAATTTGTCGGCTGAATAAGGTCGGCCTCCCCTTCTGCAAAACACAAGGTGCTTTAGACTGCTACTAGCAGTCCAAGCAAAGGCGCCCAGTGAGCACAAGTAGCCCATCGTCTCACTGTCATCCACTTTGGCACCAAGTGGGTTGGCCTCAAGCGCCTTCACATGTACAAGAAGACATGGTTGCTGTCTCATCCCCGGGACAGCACCCACGTCCAGAACAAGCTAAACTGAACTCCATTTCTTGAAAATAGGCTCAGTCCAGCATTCCTCTAACGGAGCTTGCCGATTGCATCAGCAAACACCGCCAGGTACACCACATGTCCTTGTGCTGCGCCCCACACCCGGCCAGTGGTGTGACAAGAACCATTCGGGGGACTGGCGATCAAGATGGATCTCCAATCACCCGGCACCAATGCTCTTGTTGGGTAGGGCTGAAAGCGACGCGCTGACGTTCACACACAGAAATCAAGTACTTGCACAGCAGAACGACTTGCAACACAGCTGCCCTCATGCTGCCCCAAAAACACCCGGCCAATGGTGTGACAAGAACTCTCTGGGCAGAATAAAGGAGATGATGAGCCCAGAGGCATCATGTACATATTAGTATTAGCGCCCAATGGATCAAAGTGTGCCTTGTGTCTCTGAGAAATCATGGAAAAAGAACTCAAGAATTCGGGTCTGACGCCTTGAAAAACAGATCCTTTTTTCGCGTCTTCGTGTATTGATTTTCGGATCTTCAGGTTCTCGTGTCCTCTTCGGGTTTTGCCGTTTTGGCACCAAATCAGAACTGAGAGCGCCAGAAAGTAGCTTCTTGTTACTAGCAGTACGGCCAAGAGCTACTAGTAGTTTCTTGCTCCTAACAGAGGGAAAGTGCCCACATGGTTTCTTCTCACATCGCATGTATGTAGAACCCAGCTACGGTTTGTCAATCGCATTACAGACACCACTTGAAGCCTGTCCCTAGATCTTCTGCTAACGGTTTCGCCTTTAGGGGTTTAGTAGCTAAGACTACACCAAGAAAAAGGCATAGAAGAAAGGAGATGTTACTAATTGTTCCTAGTAGTAAGGCCAGGAGCGCCAGGAGCCGCTAGTAGCGTCCTTGTTCCTTGGCAAACCGATGTCCGCGTCGTATTTCGTCCACGACATTCGGTCGTCCCCACATCCAAGGATTCCTCACGCGCGGCTCCAGCGACTTCACCACAGCATCCTCAGGCGAGACAGGACGGTCTGATTGGTCTCACCGAACTGTGTGACTGTCCGGGTCAGGGACTTGCAGGGTGTGACCCCAAACTCTATCCAAATACACAGGTTCATACTCGAACGAAACAAAACAAAGTCCCTTTATCTTCCCAACCAGTCTGCCAACTCAAAGTCCAACCACGTACCCAGCCGCATACCCCGTCTAACCCAAGGAGCCAAGCGGCTAAGCGCTCAGCAACCTCCTTCCGGAAGGATTCAGAGGTCATTCCATGGCGACCGCGTACCACGTCGCGTACCCGCGGTCCGGGACGGGGCCGTAGAGTTCAACGGAGCTGTGCGTTTGGGGACTTCAAACGAAGTCCAAATGTCTCGATGTCTCGAAAAGGTCCGGGAAATGGCGAGTGTCAGAGTGGTTGATTCCATGCCTGTTCTTTTCCCTGGTTTCCATGTGGATCTTCTATGTTTCTGAGCCGCACAAAACGCGGCGAAGGAGTCTGAAGAAGCCACCTCAGGTGTCCAAGAAGCCATGACTCACGGCCTGCAGCGACGGCACGTCACATGAACCAGCGAGTCCGGTCACCCCAAAAAACCAGGCGGCAAGCAGCCACTTCCACAAACAAAAGCATCCCAAAAGCAGGAACCAACACGCAGGAAAATGCACAACAGACTTGTGCAGTTGCACCAGGTCCAGTTCTCCTCACCCAAAGTTCCGGCAAAGAGGCCATGAGCCATGAGCGAAACCTCTGGGAAGTCCAGCAGTTTTTTTAGAAACCACTGGCAATATCTGCTTGATTCCCTTTGCTGCGAAGGAGTTTGGCGGCGGGAAGGCCCGTGTTATGTGTCTGGAGGCGGGTTTTGAAAAGTAAGTGTGTGTGTGTGTGTGTCCACTCCTGTTTCCAAGGACACTACCCTAGTTTCTCTAATCTACCCTACAAGCGTTTCTGTACAGAAGCAGGGGGCCAGCGCATGGCATCACGACGCTGGCCAACGAAGCTAGTGATGTCATGGGAAGCAGTCAGAGACGTCTGACTGTGTACCTGCAATTTTTAATATACACTAAATTAATACTTCTTGTTGAAACATTCAAGTGAGCGGACTTTGCACTTCTTTCCGTTGAATCAAGTCAAGGGCTAAGTATTCACCTAAAGGGCTAATGCACACCGCGAAGCTACCTGAAATCACGCTCCACGGAGCAACCTTCTCAAGTGTGTCTTCGCAGCTTCTTCCCACTGTGGTGAGCTGTGTGATCCCTACGGGGCGCCGTTACCGCAAGAACCTGTTCACTCCTCACCGAGGGAGTAAGTTTCCTGAATTTTCTCTGAAGTCCTTTTTGACTGAATTTGACCTGCTCGAAATCAGCTTGGATCGTTTCACCCAGCACACGTGAAGATTACTGCAGAGTTCACTGAAATCCTTTCTGAATCCCACTGCAGAGTTAACTGAAAGAGTCTCACCCGGGAAATCCATTCATACCTTTCCAATCTTTTTAACCTTTCAGATCTTTTTAACTTTCCAAGTTTTAATTCCATTTTCCAGAATTTTAATTGCGGTTATTCAATACACTTCACAATTTTCACGACTCCACGGACCTTTATTTATTTATTTATTGATACATGCCTACATATTTTCACTGTCTTTGACCTGCCGAGCAGCCATGACGTATCCCTGGCCCTATTCTTTGCCGCCACACATCCATCCACAACCACAACCTACACAACCTCATTGGATTCAATTTCCACCACAGGCTTCACCACAACCTTTTTCAACACAGCCACCGACTCCACCGCAACACCCAACCTCACACCATTACCCAATGCCCATTACACCTCCACCTCATGCTCAATACATCCAATCACATCAATTTCAGGCACATTTTCCAGTGCAACCTACAGCTCCCTTCGACACTACCCAACTTGCGCAACAACATCCACATCTCACAACTCAATCACCACAATCCCCAGCTCACACACATCTTACATTGCCACTTCAGTCCCAATCTCAATCTCAACCACCTCTTCATCAACTACATCAACCACATCTACCACATCTACCACATCAACTACATCCATCACCACACACGACAAATCCACCCCCTGCCACAACACCTTTTCAACCACCACTACAAGCACCTGATGTACTACAAGCACCACCACCTGATCCAACAACAATCACTTCACAGCAGTTGACCACACCAACTTCACCACCACCACCTCACACCTCAACAACCTCACCAGCGATTTCACAACCTGCTTCAGCAACCATCAACACACCCGCACAGCCACCACACCACATACCACGCACTACCAAGCCAACACCATCCATTGCACCCACACTCAGCACTACCAGAGGCATTTGGCGCGACCCAGATCGCTCACCACCACGCACACCTGAACACCACCGCTATTCAGCCTTTCCAGCCGTACCTTCCATTGCACCATCACAAGCTACATCCAGATCCAGGAGCCGCACTCGATCACTACGTACCACACGCTCTCCACTACCAAGACGTCGAAGCTCCGCCACACAATCCGTGGCTAGTTCTCAAGCTCAATCCAAACCTGCAGACAGACCAACATCACGATCACCAGCAATCACCCAAGACAAAGCTCACACTTCCATCCAAAACATCACTCCAGCTGCTACTGCAAAACTCACTCCAGAGCCACCTCGCCGTGCTTCCAGCATTACACTCAAGCCCAACCCACATTTCACTCCCAAACACTCCACACAACAGACACCTCCACCACCACCACCAGCACCAATACCTGCAATTCCAGTCCAACGTCGACCACACAACTTACCTCCTCCAACATTCCAACCACCTACAGATCCAGCACAGTTGGAGGTCTTCCAATGGCTCAACCGCTACGCACAAGCACTTGATGTCAACAATGAACCCATGCTTTCCTACGTAGCCAAAGTGCTCAGTGCAGCTCATCTCAACAGCACCCACTTTACCGACTTACAACTTCTCACCCACAAAAAATGGTGCGAGGACACCAACAAAGAAGAACATTTTTCCTTCCTACTACTCACAATCCCCACATTAGCGAGCAGGGGCGACGCCCCGATTCTTCCTCCTACACGGAGAGAGGCGCTGAACATACCACCTATCAAACACATTTTTGCGGCACACGTGAGCGAGGAGGGCAACATCATTTCAATACTTGAAGCAGGAGAAATTGTGCGATCTATTCTGCATGATGCTCACAATGTGGGATATTTTTGTCAGGCGTTCGAATTGTCGAACTACGAGCCCCATGATGCTGCTGAAGCTGCACGCGTTCTCTTCAATGCTTCCAACATGGCCAAGAACCGCAGCGGTCTCATTCTGACGATCAAAGCCTATGGACACGGCCAGAAAGTCACTCATGGAGGCGAATCCGCAGCGAATGACTTGCTGCTCAGAGGAGAGGGGATTGTAAAATACACTCCAGGAAAATGCTGGGTGGCCCATCCCAAACATTCCAGAATCGAAGGGATAGCTTGGAAAAGCGATGCAAAGCCACCGCTCAGTTTCATTTAATTCAATCAATCCAGCTCACGAGGTTTATTTTTCACCCTGTATCTTGGATGACGACCTAGCCTCAAACAATCTCAGCCAGCCCGCTTGATGTTGATATTGACTCCGATTTTCTCACACATTGTTGTCAACTTCCTTTTCTTCCGATATATCATTCTTGTACAGATTGATGCCGACAACATGATTTTTACAGTGACTTTTCCAATTTTTCAGACTTGCAGCATGTCAACTTTCCTGGTAGTTATCAACCTTTTTGAAGAGAGTCACAAGCATTTCGAAGAGAGTCGCAAGATTTCCTGTGATTTGCAACCTGCCCCGCAGCCATTTTGTATTATCTTGAATATTGAGCTCGATCCCTGACGACCAGCCGAGCTATATTTGCCTCCCGACGACTACCACGACGATGACTTCCCCTTTGGACACGGCATTTGCCCATCGGCTTCTCTTAGCACACCTTCAAGCAGCCACCTCCATTGCTACTACTTTTCAAAACCTTCCACCATTTACACCGCAACTACCACAACAAGCACATCACCCACTCACTACCACTCCACCTTCCCCCCCAAGACCAGCCAGGCACACTCCTCCTCCACTGCAACCACAGCCGTCTTTCTCACGCAGCCGCAGTCCGCCTCCTGCCAAAGGCAAACCATACATGGAGTGCAAACCAGAACCTTCTCCTTCACATACGCCCACTTCACCACATCAGTTTTCACCACACCGCCACAAGTCCAAAGCGACTCACCAACACAAGGACAATACAGACCTCCCGAAACAGCGTACACCACCAATCACAACGATTTCTCTCACCAGTTCGCCCAATACACCTCCACAAACATCACCATTTCCACCGAATCCGCCACCTTTGCCACCTGCATCACCAGCACCACCATCCAAGCTAGCGCACCTCCTCACGGATTCACCACACTATCCTGACAATGGAGGATGGGAACCCAGTGAAGATGAGAAACTTGCGGCCTTCAAACAACAAAAAATCTCGCCCCAGTTGGAAATACATAGCAAAAGCACTCAAGAAAACACCTTTTGACTGCAAAGGTCGATGGCAAGTCTTGCGAATTCTTTACACACCTCAACCGCCAGACAGTCCAGAAGCACAAGCACCATCACCACACAAGGCATCTCAACAAGCAGAGGCAACTCCTCCAGCCACAAAAGATGCCAGTACGATGACTACAGAACCTCCGGATCTGACCGACAAAGAGACATAGAATACACAACAGCAGTCTATGATCGTCCAGACAGTGCTTTCCACGACTTCTTGGTGCTGAAGAACATCCCGAACTATTGATGCCTTTGTACGGTATTTTATTGTCAATTCGTACATATTTACATATTGGCTTATTGCTTTTTGTCGTTCCAGCAGTTGCGAGCAATAGACTCCAACCCACAACACACCATTACAGCTTTCTTCCACACGCGCAGCAAAAACAAGATTGGTCGCCAGCAGTGCACTTTTTGCTTGAACACTTGCCACACACGACAAACTCTCGACCACTGAAGCATCGCCAATACTGTGTACAGACCAGTTTATTCCGTCTAATTCATCGTTTCATTGCATCCATGCGAATCACTATTGAATGGTCTCCCTATTGTTGAACAGGATGATTTTTTCGTTTCCTTGTTTTTCTTTTGGGTGTTTTTGACCGCTTTTATGTCTCCACTTTGATGCATTTTGATGTACTTGCAGCTCGGCTAGTTCAACTTAGCTCAGCCTTCCATTCTTGTACAGTTTTTCTCTCGACGACGACATCGCGATGGATTCAGAACCTGTTGGGACA